GTAAGTAGGAATCTCGCCTACAGTATAAATAGATTTTAAAGTAAACAGTACACATGAACTATATATGTTTGAGTACATTTAATGTTATGAATGCTATGCTATGTTATACTACATACACTTAGGCAGTACACCCGAATTATATGTGTTCGAGTACATGATATAGTATGTTATGCTAGGTCATATTGCATACACCTTAATAAGTCAAGAGGAACTTATAAGAGTAATCTCAGTTGAGTGCCGTACCAGCCTCCACAAGAGAGGTAACTCAAGCTCCACAAGGGAGAAAAAATAATAATAATGATGTCCTCCGACTCAAGGGAGGCATTCAAGTTATAATCACGGTGTCATGGGGGACCTTGCAAACCCTCACGTCCCGATGATTGCGCGCAAGTGGTACGAGCACTCGGGCCCATCAGTAAGAAAGATAAGATAAGATAATAAGATTCTGATAAGACATCATAATTAAGCATAATTGGCTCATGCATATTTATTCATGTGAACTTACAGTTATTTTGCGGGAGATAGTTCCTACTTGCTGAGCGAAAGCTCATTATAGAATGTTTATACTGTAGGTAAGCAACCGGCATATAATGCCTGATGGACTGCTGGCGAGTGGACGAACGATGTGGGGCTCGGGATATGGATACCACTCGCAAATATTTCCGCAATCAGCTTTATGTTACAAATAGTTTTGTTAATTATGATTATGAAACAGATATGTTAAGGTTTGAATATTTTAATTAAGAAAGCAATTTCGTATTTTATGTTTATAATAAGACCTTTTAAAAAAAAAAATGTTCCGTAAATTTTAAGAAATTTCAGTAAGTACAAGTTAAAAAGTTAGTTATAGTGGCGGCCTCAAAGGAGGGTCGCTACATTATAGGCGGAGCTTTGATCATCAAAACTATAGGTAGCACTTTCTCGTCAATGGTTCCTAGTAACCAAGTGGTTAGAAGGCCATCATTGTTGAGCCAAGATGTGAACTCCGGGTTGCTAATTTCTTTCCCATCTTTTCCAACTATGATCTTATTTGGTTTGCCACATTCAGTCAAATGGTGTAAAAGACCAAGACTACGAACCAATGGATATACTTGGGATTTCCATAAGAGAAAATTTGTTTCGTTTAATTTAATTGAGACTAGGCATGAGCATAAATAAAAGGCTTCAAGAGAGAGAGTAGAAGAAGAAGAAGAAGTGGAAGAGGCCATGAGAATCGAATTGCTTTGATCTCTTCTGGTGTTCTCTGATACCATAAGAATTTTTAAAGGAAAAAAAATATAATTCTCATTCCTTATCTTAAGCAAGCTATACATGTACATATTTATATGCTTTACACACGAGAGACCATTTATAAAAGAAACAGCTATATACAATGAAAAGAAGATTTGTTCTAACGGCAATATACAATATTTAGACCTTGTGAATCCCTTAGATAGTGCTGCACAAGTTGCCAAATTTGAGAGGACGAGATCTCGACTTTCTTTTGGAGTGCAGCTAGCCGTTTGAGAGGATTTGGGATGGTTTATTTCCTTTTCAATGACTGCATCTACAATTATTTTAGAAATATGGTTTTATCTTAAGGACTTCAGTTTCACAGCCTAGCTAGTTTCATTTTCCTCATAAATATTGCAAATATTGTCTTGTGACCTACAAAATGACATGTAGTGGAGAGAGTATACACCTGAATCAGCCAAAACGACAGAAACAGTCTGTCCAATAAAGTTCATCAAGGTCGAAGCATTTGGGAATTATGATTTCCACATGTAGCAGAGACTAACGCAGAAAGAGAAGTAAAAAAAAAAAATGTCAACCATTTTGGCTTCTCACAGACCCCAAAGCTACTTGGATGCAGTGTGCTCTTACACTCGTCTCCTTTGCCTGTTGATAAAAGACAAGTTCAATAGGTCGTTCCTAAAATTTTCCTTCAATTGCCAACATGACTATTTATATGGGAACGAGTTTTCAATAGTTATGTTTCAATATTGATAAATACCATGAAATATAAAAATTTGGTAACGTGACTTGATAAGAATTTAATTTCATTAAGTGTTATAATTTTTTTAGTCAACTATCCAATTTATTACAACAGTCGAATTAATATCTTACGGTTAAAATAACTATGATGGAGTAACCATTAAAACCATGCACATATGAAAATTATTACAAATTAAACTTACATAGTTGGATTTCTAGGCACTTGAAGGATCTAGCTTCAAATATGCAATTAGAGAATATAAATGGAAAGGTTTTATGTTCATATGATCAAGTTTAGTTTATGCCATTTGTTGATACCAGAATTTCTCACACACCGATGGCCCACCGGCAAAGTATTGTCCCTACTTGGGCCCGCCGTGACGGGTGGGATTTTGTCCTTTCGTAAAAAGTGTCTCACTGGTAGGAAGGGTTGACACTCTGGTACATATACCTCTCTAGACCCCGTCTCCAACCGATGTGGGACTCTTGGCATACAACACCATTCCTATTTATACTCGACTTTGGAGTTTGGACATTACAAAATTTTTCAAAGGGGTTCTGAGATGGGCCAACACACATATTCATGATAGCATCCGTTTTTCTCCATTTGGATGTAAAATGGGCCTAAACGACATAGGTTTTTTTTTTTTTTTTTTTTTGTGTGGGCATATCTATGTTTTACTGTTCAATGTTGAAGCGGTTTCTTTAGCTTAATTTTGGAGTTTAGGGAGACGTTTAGTTTATGAATTAGAATCATAATATTATAATAATTATTTTTAATTTATGTGTATTTTTTATGAAAAAAAATACTGTAGCGAACCACGAATCATAATTCGAATCGACGTACGAATCCTCCAACTAAACAACACATTAGATACTGCGCGCGCACACACATATGCTAACTTTGATTGTGTTAAGCTTCTATGGGGCCTAAATCACTTGTCTATGGACTATGATCAACTCTGTGGTTCTAATGCATGCGAGCTAGTGAAATTGCAGTTCTATTTTAACTTGTCAAAACCGAAGAGTTTGAAGGCAACGAACAAATAGTACTAAAACTCACCACCAGCGTAGAAATGGAATTGACAGCCCTTTCCAGCTCCTTAAAATTCTCCGTATGTTGCTTCTTCGTAATCAGAAGCTCCGTAACCATATAAAGTATACTCTCAACCTGAGTAGATAATTGAGATTATTCGAAATTAGGCTAGTCTTTTTTTTTTTTTTTTTTTTTGGCTAATAGAAACTACTTATTAATTTTCAATTCTATCAACGGATTTTTGAAATGTAATAACTAAAATTTATTATTTTTGATATCATAACTTCAATTTAGAAACAAACCTGTGCGGAAAATCTAGTAATAATTGCTTCTATATCATCCATGGCTTCTACGGCCTCGCTCATGGCTTCATAAACAGACATCACATCTGCCTGCAGAAAATGTGTTTCTTAGCCCAAAAATTTTAAAGAAAAAATGAAGGTGTAAAAATCACGTACATATATTTAAGAGATTAGCTAGATTTGTTAGCATTATATATTGATATGAAAAAGTCAGTACCTTGGCACCACGTACTAGAGGAAGCCTAACTGAAAGTCCTGACAATTTTGTCACTAACTTCCCCACTGATTCTTGATTTCTTCTCTCCAATTTCGTCCATTCATTAAGGAGCAAAATTTGAGGATTCAAAATCTCATACAGCTTAATCTCCAATGTAAGCTTCTGCAACTGTATTCTCTTCTCTACTGTCCAATTTCTCGTTTTGAAGATCCAAAGCCACACAGAGAACAATTTACTCTGTTTTTTTTTTTTTTTTTGTTATATAAAATGAAACTTAATCACTACGAAGAATTTTGAGCAAGAGTATGAATTACTATTTCTATTTGTAAAAAATAAAAAAATAAAAAAAATAAAGAAAAAGATTTGGATACCACCGACGCTAAAAGATCACAATTAATAAAAGATGGAACCGGCTATATGTAAGTATTATGTTGTGAGACCCACATTTTTTTAGGCTATAGTATTCAACACCATTAATGCGCATGAGCTTAAAAATATTCCTATTTATAACACGTGTTTTTTTATATGAACATCTCCTCAACTTTTTAAATTTGACAATTAAGTTCTTATTCTTTTTTTTTTCATGGCAATTGCTCCCTTCAATTTGAAAATCTTTACAATTAAGGTCCAATAAAAAATAATGTCTAGTTTTTGATGATTTTGTTCACACGACGCATGTGATATCACAATTAACTCTGATAAACAACCATTGATTTTCAATTAGAAATGACCGTTATTATCTTTAATAAACGCTCATCTACACATCACATGTGATCAAAATCGTTAAAAAAAAGACATTGTTTTTGATTGGATCTTAATTACAAAGATGTTCAAATTAAAAGGGTCAATTGTCATGAAAAAAGAATATAGATCAAATTGTCAAATTTTAAAAAAAAAAATTTGAGGGGGTGTCCTTATAAAAGAAGCCTGTAACGTAAGTAAAAAAACCACATATTATCATAATTAAATACAAATATTGGCAAAGCGACGTGATGGTGAGTGGGGGTATGTGTCCCGCTTAAGTCTTAGAATTTTAATTTGTAAACTTAAAAATTTATAAAATTTTAGTGCTACCCACATTAGATTATTAAAATATAAGGTTACATAACATCCGTAAATTTTTCATAAATATAAGGTTATATAACATCCGTAAATTTTTCATAGTGCTCCACTGAGGGGGAAAAAAAATCTAAATCTAACCAACATAATATTTGTGTAACTTCGTTAGAAAATATAAAAATCTGTCGTGCTCATATATTTAGGCACCGTTCATTTCATCAATTCGAGTTTAGAATTTGAGTTTTGTTATAATAAAAAACTTTCATAATTAATCATATCTAACTTTTTTACTACAGTAAAAGGCTTTCACATAAAATCACATCTCAACTCAAATTAAAAACTCGAATCAGCAAACTAACGGGCCCCAAGCATTTTCGTGTTATGAACTTTAAAGAACTGACCTGGGCAATGCTATTGTTAGCAGAAATGGCAGCCTCAGCTCTAGCATTGGCAAACCTCCACTGCAGAAGCACATTGTGCAAAATCCGAAACCGATGAAACTCCTCTTCTTGCACAGGTGAAACCTTCTTCTGTCTAAAATACTTCAAAACTCCATTCACACCACCACCATTAGACTTGGCCTTCACCCGAGAATTATCCGGCGGCATCACCGCCGAATTAGCCACCAGCTGCAGCGACCGTCCCGGCGACAGCGCCCACGCGGAAGGCAATAAGCTGGAGACGGGTTTAGCCGCGGCGCCGCCCTTCGTTGCACCAAAACCGCGTAAGCCACCGCGCTGCAGGAACTTGGCCGCAAAGCCCAATTGATCTTTTTCCTGCGGCTTGATCTTTCGAGCGGTTGAATTAATGTTGGGACTGATTAGTAACAATGAAGAGTTTGCTTTGTCGCCCTGATCTTCTTTGGCACTCGCTTTGTGATGATAATTAGGTCTTGTTTTTGTTGTGGACTTAGAGCGGTTGATGCTGGTGTACCTTTGGCTGGTGGAGCTCAGCATGCCTGGACTGGTGGCCCGTGGCATTACCGCGGAACCTCCGCTGCGGCATCGGAGAAGGCACGGGGAAGGAGACGGGGTCGTAGGTTGGTGCCGGCGGGAATAATAGGCTTCCATGTTGCTCTAATTGTTGGTGGCACTGTTTTACTTTGGAGTTTGGAACGTTATATTACGGTTAGAACTTACAATATGGTTTGTATATTTTTATGTGCATGTGGTGTGAAGAATATAAGAAAGTTTGAGAAAAACTTTGGTAGAAGTACTTGACAGCACGTTGTGTACGTTGACAAGTTAATTATAAATTATAAATTTAAAGGACTACATGTCGCCATATCAACAGGAATCTCTTAGGGGGCGTTTGGTAGAGAGATTCGTTCCCTGATTCGAATCATGATTCGTGATTCACTATAATATTTTCTCTTACAAAAAATACACGTAAATCGAAAATTGTTCGAATCACATTGTTTGAATCCTCCAACCAAATAAACCCTTAATTTGAAGGCTCTCACGATTTGATAGGGAAAAACTTGTGTGGCTTTTGCTCTAATTTTAGATTTTTTTTAAAAGATAATTTTAGATTTTAATATTTCATAAAGTTCAAAATCATTATCGTAAATTTATTATTATCAAATTTCGCTTAGGAGAATCTTTCACATCTGTCTTACTGTGTACATGACGGAAAGATCTGACTGTCAACAGAAAAATTCAATTCTTAAGCAGATTAATACCCAAAAAAAAAAAAAAAAAATCTTTTTTTTCAATTACTCACATCCAAGATATTGTACGTCACAATCTTAAAATTTATGTCAAATTTGTTCCTTTTATGGGGTTCTATAGTTGATTTTGGAACCCTAAATTGACCAATTTGTTTCCCCTCTGTAACCTATATGAAATATAATCCCCCTTTCTTCTTTTTTTTTTTTTTGCTGAAATGATAAATTTACCCTCAAACTTTAGCTCGAAAATATATTTTTTGCTAGGATTTTTTTTCTTTTCTTTTTTTTTTCAAAAAAACATAATGCACTGATTGCAAGAGTATCCATAAATTAAAAGTGGTAAATTTGTCAATTTAAAAATGAAAGTCACTTATTTTTAACGCTAAACAGATATAATTAATCCAAACCTAACCGCCATCCTATACCCCGGGGCTTGACCACCCCCTGCTCCCGACCTCTTCAACCATAACCGCCACCCCGCTCCCCGACTCTTCCATCCCGATGAGATCTCTCAAAGTCATCATCGGTTCTATTTTGGGAGACCCAGATCAACGGAATCCACTCAAGTGATACAGACGCCTAAGAAAAACCATATGTTAGAATTTGGGCTTTTTCCTTAATATATATATATATATATATATATCGGTTCCTTTTTCTTGAAGTTACCTTTCGTTGGCTCGTTGGTGTCAGGTTACATTATCATTCCGTTATCTAATATATATATTTGGACAAATAGGGCTTCTTGAACACTTTTATGTTGTTGAGGGGTGAAAATTTAACAAACAAGGTGACATAAGGTTTATAATTTGGGAACATTTGTGAAATTTAATTCAATTTGTGTAGCGCTACAAATATAATATAAAAGCTGTCGATGCTAACCCAGTATGATGCAGGTAGAATAAGGATTAAAAAACATGCACGTACCATGACCAATATATATGTGTATTTATTACATTTTTTTGTGTTTTTTTAATCATTATTATATATCTTGTACTTGTCAATTAAGTAACAAGGAAATAAAATATCACGACAATGGCCGGACTCTGAAGGGACTATGGGAAAATACATACTAAAGAGTTCCAACACATTCCCATAAATTTAATAGTTAAAATAAAGAGTTCTGTAATTTTTTTTTTTTTTTTCAAACTCGAGTTCTAAGGTTACTATCATTTAAATAAGTTTAGGAAATTATGAGATACTTTTTCCACCCCTAAACGACTATGAATTACCAGAACCAGAACAATCGGGATTTTTATTTTTTATTTTTTTTTAACAAGATTCAAAACTTTAGGCCTAAGGTTGGGAATAGACATCTATTTAGGCTAGCTATACCTACAGCTAGATCAAAATTTATTTTCTTGTAGTCAATTAATCGTCAAAACTTGCTCAAACTCATCCAAGTCTTACAACTTTACTGGGACATATCAACCGTGTCTATCTAAAATCTCAAATGAGAGAATTATTGAATTTATCCTTAAAATTACATTAATTTTAATTTTTACTCACTCTTGATTAATATTCTTTGACTAATATAGTTATTTGACTAAAATAATCGTAATTAAAAGTAAGGAATAAAAGTCTAGACTCATGCACTTTAAGAGGTTATTTATCTCTTTTCTCTAAAACCAAAACCATTTCTAAAGGAAAAAAAAAAAAAAAAAAACTAAAATAGATTGATAAATTTGGTAGATCATCACAAACTTGCTTATAATTACCTCAAAGTGCAGGCCACTGATACCACTCATTGAAAAAACCTCTTAGAGAGATCGAAAGCGGTATTATATACTTATAGATACATTTTCTTTGTAATATTACTTAGCATCTAAGAGGTGATGTACCCCACTACAAAATTCGGCCAAGATAAGAACATTTTATTCCACAGAAACAAATTTAAAGACAGAAAAAAATTGAACTCTACATTTTATAGTAAAATTATGTATAAATATAAGGCTAGACCGCACCAACAACTATATCAACTATAATATCATTAAAGCATTTTTTCCTTAAAAAAAAAAAAAAAAGGTAGTTGTGACCCACGGTAGGTTGAGATATTTTTTCCATATTGTTTCCACAGTTTCCAATTAATTAGAAATGGCATTATATAATTGGTTGCATGACGTGGTCGATTACACGCAAAAGATAAGAAAAGGAGTATAAGCCTCTGACTTCTTCCCCCAACTGTACAAACAATTAATTAAGGAGGTGGTGCCAAGTAGAAGTAAAATAACCCCAAGGGTAGCAGCAGTTTTCTTTCATCAAAAGCCAAAACAGAAATGAAAGTAAAACAAAACCAAATGCATGCAACACTTTTTTTTTTATTTTTTTTTTATTTTTTATCTCTATTCCCCTGCATTGGAAATGTTAGGATCATGGATTTTGTATCATCCGCAAGTATTTTGCAAGCAATATATATATATATATATATATATTAACCAATTTGTTTCGCGGCAGTTCAAATTTTTTTACTATATTATATTGACAAGATGCTCAAAAAACTGACAAAACTTTTCACTACCATGAAATAAAACAAAACAAAACAAAAAAAAAAACTACGAAAACTAGTCAGAAACGGCTCAACATACTTCCTATTCTATTCTACTTCTTCATCTGCTACTGCTGGAAGATTAAGATCTATAATCAAACTGTTCCCGAATTTTCTAGAAGAAATCCTTGTAATAATGGGTAAGTTATTCGAAAAGTGAACCTTCTTGTGCCCACCAAGAGCCTGACCAGAACCAAACACCTTGAAACAAAACGGACACTCAAATGTCCTTATCGGATGATCATCAACAACAGCATAGTTATTATTTCTTCCTTCATTACCATCTTCTTCATCAGTAGATTCATAGTTGTCTTCGTCGTCGTCGGAGATTTCGCTCTTCATCATCTTCTTGTGGTTCGCCTTGTGTCCGCCGAGAGCCTGGTACGAACCAAAAACCTTATTGCACGTCTCACACTTGAACTTCGCAACCTCCTCCTCGTGATGATGACCAACAGCTTCTCTCTTGTCCCACTTGTCCTTGGACAACTTCACCAGAAAGAAAGCGGCCTCCTCCGCGGAGAAAGTCTCCGATCTACGACGCCGTTTGGATCTCTGTCGAGTCACGTGCCTCCGGCGCGACTCGTTCTCGTTCTCGTTCTCGCTCTCCAATATTGCATCCTCAACAACAGAAGAAAACTCCTGAGAAAGCTCGTCCAAAGAAGGAGAAGTACTAGAAACAACACTCGGTTGGTTCGGCTTCGGCGGCGGAAGAGGAAGAGGAAGCTTGGCGAGATGAGATCTCATGTGACCGCCCAAGGCCTTGCCGTTGGCGTAGCGCTTGTTGCAGATCTTGCAGATTTTCTGCTTCGAATCCATTGATTTTTCTCGAAAGAGAGAGAAATTATTTATTTTCTGGGAAACTTTCTTGCTGGTTTTCTCTTATAGAGTAATGGAGTGAGGGATTGGAAGAGAAGCTAAAACAAGTAGGTGACAAACAAGCATTTCCTTAAGCGAAAGCAACAAAACCAGGACCAGAGAGTGAATGTGGGATTATATGTAAAACTTAAGGTGTCTTTTCACTAAGAGTGGGGTCTTGTGCACATGTTTGATTTTGGATCATTTGATGGTGGGCTTTTGTGCCTATCTGGTCTGGTGGGTGATATTATCGATGATTGATACATATAAAAACTGATAGCAAAATCCAAATCCCACAAAGATAAAATTAAAAGGAAAAGCATTTAAAACTCGATAATAAAGGAAAAGTTCTCATGTAATCCCAACGGATTCTGCTGATTTTGGGTTTATATTGATTTGTAGGGAATTAAGTTTTTTATTGTTATTTTTTATTTTGTTTTCTGCTATAAAGTCGTTCTCCATCCTGATCTTTTCAATTGAATTTGGAAATTACGGCCCACTTATAGTTTACAGTTGACCAGTAATTCATTATTGAGGAAACAATGGCACAAAACCACATACTCAAAACGGAAGATTTGACAATAATGGTGATTGTTCATATTAGCCATTGGTCATTCATATGCCAATATCTGCTCTAAGAGAGTATCAAATTTATTTGGGACTTAAAAAATGTTATTAATTAATTCTCCATACCCACTATCGCAAAGATAGCAGAAATCCTTGTTTTGAATTCCAAACTAACTACAATATCAGTTCAGAATATTACACCACCAAGATTGTTGAAAACAAGTTATATTTTATGTTGTCACACAACTATGTGTGTATAATAGTAAGTACGAAGTACTAGTAGGGGGGAACAAAAAAAAAGTACTAAGGCCCCGTTTATTTCGCTGATTCGAGTTTAGAATTTGAATTTTTCTACAGTAAAAAACTCTCACAAACAATCACATCTAACTTTTTTGCTACAGTAAAAAGCTCTCACATAAAGTCACATCTCAACTCGAATTAAAAACTCGAATCAGTGAACTAAACGGGAAGTATCTAGTTGTCCTCTTCGTATGTCATTTATTTTTCTCATTTTCCTAATGAACTTCCAACATTATTCCACATAACAGCGCACATCTACACACTAGTATTCTATTGAACGCGATTCAAGTTGGCCAATATTTAGTGAGCATGTGTTAACAAACCAATTGTTGTGCATTAAGTAAACTAGTTTATTTTTTCTTGTACTTGATATGCAAAATTATGAGTATATGTGAAAATTGTAGGATACTTAGGACTTGTTCTTTTGAGTGAAAAACTCAAAAAAAAAGTAACTCGAGTTACAATTTTATTCGAGATCATGTTCTTTTAAGTTTAAACTCGAGTTTATGACTAAAACTCGAGTTCAAGTTTTCCCTTCAACTCGAGTTCAGAAACTCGAACTCAAATTACTATACAGTATTTTTTCTATTCTTAAAAATGCTATAACTTTTTCGTTTTAATTCTGATTGAGATTATTTTTTTTTCTATGCGTTGACAACGAAAAGACGAATAAAATCTGACCCATATACCTTATTAAAATTTTTCATCAGCATTGAGTTTTTATTAAAATACTATATAAATACAAATTCAAGTTTTGACTCACTCAAATACAAACTCAAAATTTTTTTTATCTCAAACCATAACTCAAATGTACACAATTAAATACAAACTCAAACTACAAGTTCAACTCAAATTATAATTCAAATTCAATTAAAGAATTATACTTAAATTAAAGCTCCGTTCACTTCACTGATTCGAGTTTAGAATTTGAGTTTTTCTACAGTAAAAAGCTCTCACAAACAATCACATCTAATTTTTTTGCTACAGTAAAAAGCTCTCACATAAAATCACATCTCAACTCAAATTTTAAACTCAAATTAGCGAAGTGAACGAACAATCCCTTATTGTCTCTGGTATAATAAAACTTCCAAAAGATTATTCGCTTACGCAACTGCAATAACCAATGATCGTCATCTAATAAAATGTAAATCTTATTTGTAAGATCGTGTAACATCCACGCGCCTTTGTATTTTATGGCAATCGTCTTTTATAAGAAATAGTGATTGTCTTTTTTTGCAACATGACGTTATTTCATGACATACGCTTTTTGCCAAATCCAATTTTGGAAAATTTAGCGTAAAAGATTCCTTCCTTAAAGAAAATTTTAGCAAAATTTTTAAAACGAATTAGATGTTATTACGACTCGTTCATTTTATTAATTTGAATTACAACTTAAATTTTTACTACAATACTTTATTTTACAAAAATTTAAATTGAATTTTTTTTTACAAGGTTTTTTTTCATATGAATACACTTTTTACTTTAAGTTCTTTTAAGTCAAACTACGTGTACATATGTGTGAAGTTGAATATTTTGTTAGGTGATTAGTTTTTTAGTTTAAAATCGTGTAACAACTTTTGGTCTCTGTCCTATATAAAAGGTAGAGTTGTGTACTTATTCTAATTAATTGAAGAAAATCATTTTCACATTCTCCAAATAATCCGTATTATGGTATCAGAGCAATTTTCCGCTACTTAGTTTCTTCGTCGGAGATTTTCACTGGATCTTTTCAGATTTCTTTGCCGGATCTTTTCAGATTTCTTCACTGTTCTTCATCAGGTTTTGTTCCTAATATTGTTATTCTTTCTCTGTCGGCTTGATCAGTCCTCATGAATTCTTCAGCGACTACTTCGGATCTATCGTCCAATGGCCGATTCGCCATTGACTATCCTTCAAGTCTGTATTTTCTCCATCACTCCGATAGTCCGGGACTGTCGCTTGTTTCTCAGCCTTTAACTAGAGACAATTACACTTCTTGGAGCCGAGCTATGTTAATCGCTTTGTCTGTGAAAAATAAACTAGGGTTTATTGATGGATCCATCGATAAACCATATGGCTCCGATTTATCTTTGCTTAATTCTTGGATCATGAATAATAATGTTGTTATTTCTTGGATTCTCAATTCTGTTGGCAAAGAAATTTCAGCGAGCATTATTTTTTCTGAATCTGCCGCTGAGATTTGGGCAGATCTACGGGACAGGTTTCAACAGAGTAATGGTCCACGCATTTTTCAACTAAGGCGAGAATTGATCAACTTGTCTCAAGATCAACAATCTGTTAGTGTCTACTTCACGAAGTTGAAAGCTTAGTGGGAAGAATTGAGTAATTACAGACCCATATGTACGTGTGGGAAGTGTAGTTATGGTGGTGTTACAGGGCTCCTTGCTTACCATCAAATGGAGTACATAATGACTTTTCTTACGGGACTCAATGATACTTTCTCTCAAGTTAGAGGTCAGTTACTCCTTATGGATCCTCTTCCTCCGATTAACAAAGTGTTCTCTTTCATTTCTTAGGAGGAACGTCAAAGGACAGTTAGTTCTCAGGGTTCCACTGGTATATCGACCAATACCATGGCCTTTGTGGCGAAGAATGATGATTCCTCTAAATCAAGGGCTGGTTTCAGTTCTAGTTCTGGGAACAAAACCGGTCCTGCTTCAAAAAAGGATCGTCCTTTATGCATGCACTGCAACTATCATGGCCATACAATTGAGAGGTGTTACAAAATTCATGGCTATCCCCCTGGTTTTAGACAACGCCAGAGGTCATTTTCCAATCAAGGAGTTGCAGTTAATCAAGTTGCTGCTGAAGAGAATATTAGAACTTCAGCTACCGGTAATAATGACAATGCTGGTACTTTCTTTCAGAACTTGTCTTCTAATCAGTATCAACAGTTAATGGCGTTATTGTCCAGTCATTTGTCCCCTGTTTCCCTCAATGCTTCCTCCGAGGTTCCCTCTTCCTCATGTGTAACAGGTACTTGTCTATCTGTTTCACTGACTAAAGATTTGTCTTCTGGTCGGTTATGGGTTGTTGATTCTAGAGCATCTAGACATATATGTTATAATGCTAATGATTTCGTGTCATTGAAATCAATTCCCAGTTCTTCGGTGACTTTACCTAATAGAACTTCGATCCCTGTTCACCTTGGTGATGATGTTCAATTAAGTTCAGATTTAGTACTTCGGGATGTTCTAAATGTTCCACAATTTGATTTCAATTTACTCTCTATCAGTGCTCTCACTTGTGCCTCCCAAGTAGAGCTTAATTTCTTTCCTGACTGCTTTATCATTCAGGAAACGGCCAACAAACGGATGATTGGCAGGGGTAAAGTACATGAGGGCTTATACCTGCTTGATGCTAATGCCAAGGCTGCTGTTTCTTTTCCTACTATGTATATAGAACATGTCAATAAAGTGTCTGTATAGACTTGGCATAATAGACTTGGTCATTTGTCAAATAAGTGTTTAGATTCTTTGAAAGATCAGTTGTTGATTCCTGATTCTCATTCCCTTGTTCATTCCCCGTGTTACATTTGTCCATTGGCTAAACAAAGGAAACTTTCTTTTGTTTCTCACAATAATATGTCTCCTTCTCCTTTTGATCTTGTCCATTGTGACATTTGGGGACCTTATGATCTCTCTTCATATTCTGGACAACGATATTTTCTTACACTTGTTGATGATTGCACTAGATTTACTTGGATTTTTCTGCTTAAGCATAAATCTGATGTTTCTGTTGCTATTCCGAAGTTCTTTAATCTCATTGTTACTTAATTTGACAAGAAGGTCAAAGAATTTCGATCAGATAATGCTAAAGAGTTAGCATTCACTGAGTTTTTTAATAGTCAAGGTGTTCTCCACCAATTTTCTTGTGTGGAAAGGCCACAACAAAATTCTGTGGTGGAAAGAAAACATCAACACTTGTTGAATGTAGCCCGGGCTTTATACTTTCAATCACGTTTTCCTCTCTCTTTTTAGACTGATTGCATCCTCATGGCTGTTTTTCTCATCAATAGAACTCCGTCTCATGTTCTTGGGAATAAAAACCCTTATAAGTTGCTTTATCACAGGAAGATTGATTATTCTCTCTATCGAGTGTTTGGTTGTTTGGCTTTTGCTTCCACATTGTCTGCCAAACGCACCAAATTTCAGCCGCGAGCACGAGTATGTGTGTTTCTTGGTTATCCTCCTAGAATGAAAGCCTACAAACTTTATGATATACAAGCTAAACAAGTTTTTATTTCTCGAGATGTTATTTTTCATGGGAATATATTTCCTTTTCACTCGGTGCATACTCAGGGTGACTTGGTGGATCATTTTCCTGATTTGGTCTTGCCCTGCTTTCCCCTTGAGGTTCCCGAGGTCCGGTACTCACCTGGTTCAGCGGGTTCAGCACCTCCTGCCCCTAATTCTCAGGCTTCTCCATCTTCTAGTATGCTCACTGCTTCTCATCGACGTTCCACTAGACTGGTTAAGCCACCATCCTATCTTCAGGATTTTCATTGCAACTTTATCCAACATGGTTCTGCCACAGACGAGTTTCCTCCTTCCCCTAAGGTTTTGTACCCTTTGACTCAATACTTGTCATATGATCGTTTATCCCCTGCATGCCAGCATTTTGTTTTGAATGTTTCTGCTCAATATGAACCTCAATTTTTCCATCAAGCGGTTAAGTTTCCTCAATGGCGTGAGGCCATGGACGCTGAACTAGATGCTATGGGATCCAATAATACTTGGTCTGTTGTTCCTTTACCCTCAAGAAAACATTCAATAAGCTGTCGGTGGATTTACAAAATTAAGTATAAGTCAGATGGTACATTGGATCGGCATAAGGCTCGTTTAGTAGCAAAATGATACATACAACAAGAAGGAGTTGATTTTGTTGAGACCTTCTCTCCGGTGGCCAAGTTGGTTACTGTCAAGGTTTTATTAGCTCTTGCCGCAAGCCAGAAGTGGAATTTAGTCCAATTAGATGTTAACAATGCGTTCCTTAACGGAGATCTTTTTGAGGAGGTCTATATGGATCTTCCTTTGGGCTATCATCGTAAGGGGGAGCCTGCTTCTTTGGCTGTGAAGTTAGTTTGTAAACTTCATAAGTCCATTTATGGTCTTAAACAAGCCTCTCGTCAGTGGTATTCAAAATTTTCTCAAGTCCTTCTCCAGTTTGGTTTTACACAATCCAAAGCAGATTATTCATTGTTTACTAAGGGCTCTGGATCCACTTTTGTTGCATTACTTGTGTATGTTGATGACATCATTCTTACAGGTCCTTCTCTTACGGTCCTAGACTTTTTAAAGAAGTTTCTTCATAGTCAATTCAAGCTCAAGGACTTAGGGTCTTTAAAATATTTTCTGGGGCTTGAAATTGCTAGGTCTTCTCATGGGATTGTTCTGTCTCAACGTCAATATACGCTACAACTTCTAGAGGACACTGGTTTTCTGGCTTGTAATCCAGCTCCGGTTCCAATGAATCCTCGGGTGCAATTGTCAGCCACTTCCGGCGATGTGTTGTCTGATGTTTCTCAATATTGTCGTCTTATTGGACGTTTGTTGTACCTTAATCTTTCAAGGCCGGACATTACATTTGCTGTACATAAGTTGAGCCAGTTTCTTGCTCAACCACGGTCATCTCACCTTCAAGCAGCCCATTATCGTCTTTGTTATCTCAAGTCTTCGCCTGGTCAGGGACTATTTTTCTCCTCGTCTTCTGCTTTACAGCTCAGGGCTTTTTTTGATGCCGACTGGGGGTCTTGTCCTGATTCCCGAAGGTCTGTTATAGGCTATTGTGTGTTCTTAGGTGATTCCTTGGTCTCTTGGAAAGCAAAACGGCAGACTACTGTTTCTCGGTCTTCTGCCGAAGCAGAATATCGTGCCATGGCTGCCACAACAAGTGAACTAGTGTGGTTGCAGCAATTGTTAAGGGATTTCGGTGTTGCTAGTTCTTCTCATGTGTTGCTTTTTTGTGACAATCAAGCTGCCATGCACATTGCTTCTAACCCACCTTTCATGAACGAACCAAACACATCGAAATTGATTGTCATTTCGTTCGTGATAAGGTTACTTATGGTATTCTTAAGCTCATGCCAGTTCGATCTCATCTTCAGCTTGCTGATATTTTTACCAAGCCTTTACCGTCTGTTCCTTTACAATCTCATCACTCCAAGATGGCTGTGAAAAATATTCACTGTCCATCTTGAGGGGGAGTTTTAAGTCAAAATACGTGTACATATGTGTGAAGTTGAATATTCTGTTAGGTGATTAGTTTTCTAGTTTAAAACCGTGTAACAACTTTTGGTCTCTGTCCTATATAAAAGCAGAGTTGTGTACTTATTCTAATTAATTGAAGAGAATCATTTTCACATTCTCCAAATAACCCGTATTAAGTTCTAAACTCATTTGTGAAAAGAATGATGCCATAGTATATCTCATATGAGGATAGGTGAGAAGATCCATCTCCTTCCCATTTTTGGGCTACGAGGATCTTCGGGGGAAAAAAATCACGAAAAGGAAGAAATATGAGTAAAATGAAAAGGAAAAAAAAAAGAGACGATTTTTCACTTAAGAGAGACATGATAAAAAAATAGATCGGTTTATAAAACTCTTTATTTAGATGTGTATTTTGGTCACGCTTTATAGTGAAATAGGTTTGTTCCTAAGGTTGTAATCGGTTCGGGATGAGTGGCTGGAAGATGGCAATTGATTCATGACTATCGTTTTTTAAGTTTTGGAAGCATCACTGAACTAAACGAAATTGTTGATTGCAACAAAAGAGAAAGAGGGACGGGGAAGAGAGATGGAGAAGTTGATGGAGGTCATGCAATGGACAAATGTCGATGTTTGAGTCGAGAATTGAGGTAGAGAGAATGGCTTGAGCCTCGTTTATTTCACCGATTCGAATTTTGTTACAGTAAAAAACTATAAAAAATAGTCACATCTAACTTTTTTGCTACAGTAAAAAGCTATCATCTAAAGTCACATCTTAATTCAAATTAAAAACTCGAATCAACAAACTAAACAGGTCCGTGAACAACAAACGACAACACTAACGTTATAAACGATGAATAGATGTTAAATTGTGGAACCTAACAATTTATCATTATAAAAATTATTATTTTTTTTACAGTGGAATTCATGAATCAACCTCATTATTAGTTTGAAAATTTTACATAACGAGATTATATGCACGAGTATGTGACATTTTTGAGCAATTGGACCGACCGTTTCTAATGCACTGATTGTGCTACAAATTAAATCTATAGTCTAATTCCGTCAAATAAAAATTTAAAGACTAAATTGCAATATAAGTGAAAGCTTAGGGACCATTTGTGTTAAAATTTCATTTTCATCACCCTAAAAAAACTACAAAAAAAAAAAAGGAACGTACAGATATTAAAAAAAAAAAAAACAGATATTTACACGGTGATGCGGAAAGCCATGATTCAGGTGTTGCTCCATTTTCCCGCCAAGGACAGTCTTCTTCTTCCTCTGGGTCACTCCTCGTTTCGCTTCTTCTCCTCTAGGGTTTCCTTCTCTTCCAAGAAAAAAAAGCTCTAGAACCAGACCCGAGCCATGGACGACCCAATGTCCAGTTCTATTGAGCGTCCTAAAGCAGGTATTGTCAAGAGGATCCGATTGGAGAACTTCATGTGCCACAGTAATTTGGAAATCGAGCTCGGCGACCGCGTAAATTTCATCACCGGTCAAAATGGAAGTAAGGCATCTCTCATGTGCTTTGCTCTGTGTTTCTCTTACGCGAAATTAATGAATTAATGGATTTTCTAGGGTTTAAATTTGTTTGGGGTTTTCCTTGAATTAAATTTTTTTTCCTATGTACATGTGTATATATGTTACCTTATATATGTGTGTGCGTGTTTTTCTCAATGTTTTTTTGCAGGTGGTAAGAGTGCGATACTCACTGCTCTGTGCGTTGCATTTGGGTGTCGAGCAAAAGGTACTCAGAGAGCGTCGACGTTGAAGGATTTTATCAAAAAAAATTGCGGGTTAGTGTTATTTTTATGTTTAACCCACTTTTGTTGTTGACTTCTCAAAGATTAAGGAGAAAATTTTCATTCTTTGTGTTAGAGCTTAGAAACCAGAATATATATTTTCTTAATTTTCTCTGGCTGCGTTTTTGCAGTTATGCCCTTGTCCAAGTCGAAATAAAAAATGAAGGGGGCGATGCTTTTAAGCCTCAAATATACGGCGATGCCATAACTATAGAAAGGAGGATCACTGCATCCGCTGGCCCCACTGTTTTGAAAGATAACCGAGGTTAACACTTAACATAATTTGCTTTCATGATTTTTCCCCCTCAAAGTAGTTTGATCATTACCTTTCTTCTAGCCAATTGCCCAATAACCCTATTGCTGGAGGAATCATCTTTTATTGTGTATAATTATATGTTTAATTAGTTGAAATTTTTTATTTAAGTTTGAGATGTTTAGAGGTTTGGTCGATTGGAACTTCATCAATTAGGAAACCAGTTCTTATGGGTTTTGGTTGGAATTCATTCAACGTAATGAACATAGTAAGCCAATAATTGCATTTTTGTACTGTGATTTTGAAATGAAACCATTTTGGTAAAATTTCTGTTACTAGTTTTTTTGTTCTTCCTACTGTTTGCTACATTTTTGTGAGAATTTTTTGTTTATTTACTTCGTTGGTTTCAAAGGGATTATGTATACCAATATGCTTATAGGTAGTATTAGAGGTTAACAGACCTGGCGTATCGTCTTTGACCCTCTGTTCCTACTTTTTGAAAGTAGTATGGCACGAATGAAGCGTTGAAGACGGATGTAAGATTTGTTGCACATATGTCTAAAACTGTATTGATGGTGCCAATGTCTTGAAGTAGAAGATTAATATTTAAACATATTTGATTTAAATCTTAAGAAAGATCTCATTTAGAAAAGGTCACCCATTTATAAGCTTCTCTGAAATGCCGAAATAAAAAGAAGTCAAATATTTGCATCTATGTATGTGAAACGATGCGCTCATTCCTAACTCATTATGGCATAATTGGAACTTTCAAGCCAAAGTGCTAAACTTTTCTGTGAATGTTTCTCATTGGGAAAGGCATAATGAACCAAAACCCCTATATACCAAAAGAACCAGCTTTTAGGAACAATGGATCATACTGTAGATGTCTCAATAGTAGTGGTCGTACAGAAGAACATCTAGATGCTATTCTCAGATACCATACTCTAGTGAAATCCATGTGCTATTTCAATTGTTGTCTGGCCATATTTTTTTTTTTTTTTGCCCCCTTCAAACATGATCATGCATATAATGTCACTAGAATTGATACTTGAGGTTGTGCTATTCACTTGATCTTGTCCTTTGTGGAACGTAACAGGAAGGAAAGTTGCTAGTAGGAAAGACGAGCTTCGTGAGCTAGTAGAACATTTTAATGTGAGTGTTTGTGGGACTAATTGCACTTACTTTGTTTGGTCATCTTATGAGAGAACAACCGGACGTTACTCTTCAATGTATTGCTTTGCATTCTGCAGATTGATGTTGAGAATCCGTGCGTAATAATGAGTCAAGACAAAAGCAGAGAATTCTTACATTCTGGGAATGACAAAGACAAATTTAAGGTAGTCTCATTGAGTTTTTGCATTCTGAGTGAGTGGTAGTCCAACAATGGCTTCTTCTCTTTTTTTTTTTTTTTTTTTTAAATAATAAATACACTTGTTTTATTTTGATTTTTTTTTTTGAAAAGAAATATGACTTCATTTAAAATTTATGACGTACAAAGAACACCAAACAAGAGGATGGGGAGTCCAACAACATAACAAACAATATAGAAAAAAAGAACTACATCAGAATGTACTGATCCCTAACCGAATCAGACATATTGAAATCTCAAAATTCTGACACTTGTTATTCAGTTCTATTTTAAGGCCACACTTCTCCAGCAAGTTAATGATCTCTTGGAAAACATTGATCTACGCTTGAAGACTGCGGATGGTATTGTTTGTGAATTAGAGGATTCAGTGAAACCAATAGAGAAGGAACTAAGTGAATTGCAAGAAAAGATTGATAGCATGAAGCATGTTGAAAGAATTACTCAGGACTTACAGGAGCTGAAGAAGAAGCTTGCTTGGTCATGGGTATATAAAGTAGACAGGGATCTCCAGGAAAAACTTGGAAATGTGGAAAAGCTGAAAGGCCGTATACCTACTGTTCAAGCTAAAATTGATTCTAAAAAGGTGAGCGGAATTCTTGAAACATTTTAGATACCTTTATCCTCCCGTGGAAATTGTATTTCTCTTTCAATACATTAGATACTTTTATTAATATTCTCCTTCATCTTAAAAGCACAAATTTGGGTGGTCCATTCTGAAATAAAATATTTCCTACAATAGTGTATTCTGAAATTCCTTTATGGTTTCCTAAATATTTTTACAAAATTGATCATCTAGTTTAAGATTTCTTTGGATTAACCATTATATGAACCTCAACCTTTAGGGCCTCGTTTGTTTCATGCGTTTAAACCCATGGTTTTAATTCTGCTTTAGGTTTTCCTCGCACAAAAATTTGAATTTTAAATGTCAAAATCTAGAATCACTGGTTTGAACGCATGGACCAAATGGGCCCTAGATGTCGTAAAACCAACAAGGTCATGTCATTTGGACACTTTGATTTTTATTATGAACTGTATATATTTTTGCAGATTTTTCCAATCAAACCAATTCTCTCTAGTTTATTTATGTGGATATAATATATATACTTATGTGTATATATATATATATACATATGTGTGTATATATATATGTCATGGTATTGAATTCACCCTTGATTTCCCCTCTTTCTTCTCTAGAAACTCTTGACTCATATCAATGGATGCATGGGGAAGAAAAAAATTAAAACAGTACCACTTTAACAGCTTATATCTGAATTCTGAAGTTGCATATTTTTAAAGACTACGTAAGAAAAGGTCTTCCACAAAGCCTAAAACTTGAAACTGTAGGTTTCCCACTGAATTATGTTGTAATTTGTCAGTTTAGACTTTTTTCTTCTGTCAATCGGCATTTTCATATTTTTGCTAAGTTTCTAGTTAGTGGAGATAAAGTAGTAATAGCTTCTTGCATCAGTCTTTTATTATTTCTAATAACAGCATGATTCACAGGGTGTTGCTGAAGGTTGAACCTTAGTCAATTGATTAATTTGTAAAACATATGACTTGTAGCTTAACATGCGTGAGTTAATTTATTTTGTAGGGTGTAGTAGAGGAACTAAGGCAACTCTTAGATGAGAAGAAAACTCGAATTGCACGCATGATGGAAAAGACGGATGAAGTGAAGAGAAAGAAGCAGGAACTGGAACAAACATTGTCCTCGGTTTGTTACAAAATTATCCTTTTCTTTTTTCTCGTTTTTTTTTTTTTTAGCTATGTGAATTAAGCTTATATTGCCATTTTTTTTCCATATCATTTTTCCTTGTGATATTTCAATCAATAAAGGATGGCTATTTCCGGAAATTATGTTTGTCACATTCAAGATGCTAGTAGTGCATAGTAAAAGACTAAGATGTAAAGGTGCTTCTAGATTTTATAATGAAATGCTTAATTCTATCATCGTACTATCAAGAATTATGCTGAATATGGATTATTCAGTCAGAGTTGTTATTTATGTCACATATGACGTCACTTCTTTTCAGTGTCTTTCTTGTCTCATTGATAATTGATTCTTTGAAACTTTTGTACTCGTTTGAATTGCTTGTTAAAACATAAAAGAATAGAATTTATTTTTCTTTTACTCGCTGATGAAAATTTCTTTTATAGGCTACAAAAGAGAAGCTAGTGCTAGAAACCGAACATAACCGAATAGTTAAGGACATCCAGAAGTGGGTGAAGAGTGTTAAGTTTCTTGAGCAACAAGTGCAGGAACTTCACGAGCAGCACGTAAAAGATACTCAGGTTTGTCCTTTTGCTATTATGTGCCATAATAAAAAGAAGCAGCATGTGAAAAATTCAAGAGCATGGCAGCAAAGTAATAACATGAACATGATTTCTTTTTCTCTGATTGGATTTTCTATTCTACAATATATATGTAACATTTTTACAAGGCTGAAGAATCTCAAATAGAGGAGAAGCTGAAGGAACTCCAGTACGAGGTTGATGCTGCTGATTCAACATTTACAAGGTTAAAAACAACTAATATTATCATCTGTTGACTATTTCTTTCTATACAGAAAGATTTGAATCCAAGTTAGCCTAATGGTATTCTAGGTTGAAGGAAGAAGAGAATAGATTATCGGAATGCTTGAACCAGGGGATGACTGAAATCCGACATAAAGCTGAGGAGGTCTGTGGTGTTCAGTGTTTGACTTGATCAAGAAACTCGTTATTGTCTAGTGTCTTATGCGTTTTTCTCATCTATTCTAGATATGTGTTTGTTTTAATGAATAATTTGATAGAATTGAGAGGTGTATGCATATGTTTACCAAATATCATTTTCGCACAAGCCTTTTTAGTGCCCTTGACTGCACTTTTATTGAATGTTTCTGTTCTTAGATTGAGGGTTTTGAGCAGCAGTACCATGAATTGTCAACAAAAATACGCGAGCTTCAGCAAAATCAAACCAACAGGGTGAGACGCTGTTCATTTTAGAATTTAGTGCTAGATGCTGTAGCAACAATGGAGTCGTCAGTAATTATTAAAAGAAAATGACAACGGAGCCTTGAGTGCTGACAACCATAAGGTTCAATCATGAATATTTTGATTAACAGGTTACTGCTTTTGGTGGAGATAGAGTTATTAATCTGTTACGGGTAATTGAGGGACGCTATCAGAGATTTAAAATGCCACCAATTGGTCCAATTGGTGCCCATGTGGTAAGAGTTCATAACTTGTCGGCATGGCATATCGAGTTTGGTGTATTAAAGAATCTATATCTGAGCTTGACAGTAATAAAATTAATTGAACAAGAAACCTATGTTTTTTTATTTCTTCATCGTTTCTGCTGCTTTGTTTCATTCCTAAGGGTGGGTCTTTATCATATATATATATACATATTGCTTATTTAGCTAATGCTACCACCTAAGTGGTGAAAAAAATTGACATGGACACTCATTGGTAGTGGTTTTCTTTCCTCATGTTAGCTGAACTTGTGCTTTTCGTTTAATTTTAGTGACTAATCTAAAAGTTTTTAGCCACGAGTTTGTTCTTTACTTTTATGGATGCCAAGTTGTCATTTTTGAGGGTGATGGCTTTTGATATGGAGTGTTACAACAAAATGGCTTCAACTTTTCTGTTTGTTTGTGTTTCAACTAATATCTCTTATATCTTCTGTGCCTTTTTATTTTTTTTTGGGTTTTCTATTGACCATTTGCAGATCTTTTAAAATTCATGGTAAAATTAACTCCTATAAATTCCTCATTGACTATCATTTTCTTGATAGAATATGGAGAATTTGTCTTTAGATATTTTCTTACTAGAAATATTTAAATAATTATTAATTCTTTGTTACTGTGATGCACTATGTTACTGTAAATTATTTCATTCATTTTAACCTTGTCGTGTTAGGATATATCTAATTTAGAATTGTCAATGGTGACCTCCATGTCATTGATTATTTTGATTTTTAGTTGTATGTTATTTATACATGATGCACCTTCTATCATTGCTGGGAATTGTTTAATAATCTTTCTTCATGGAAATGCCAAAACTTTGCTTAACTCGGGATTACATGTACTTCTCGGTATCTAACATTTATGATCGTGTTCTTGGTTGCTAGAGTTTGTAATATGAATGAGAAGCTTATTAATGATACTTGCAACAACTTGCTCATACCACTGATTTAACGATTGCTTTTGTAGACTTTGGTTAAGGGTGATAAGTGGGCCCCTGCTGTCGAACAGGCCCTTGGAAATTTGCTCAATGCTTTCATCGTAACAGATCATAAAGACTGTCTCCTTCTGAGGGCATGTGCGAAGGAAGCGAATTATCATTACCTTCAGATTATCGTGTACGATTTTTCAAGACCAAGGTATCTGTGTAATTTATGATTTACTTGCATTTCTCATTTGGGCCTAGTTCATTTGAGGTTATCTGACAAGCAATTCTTGTCTTGTTATTATGCCTCTACTTTTTCTTGTAGGTTAAATATCCCAGATCACATGCATCCTCAAACAAATCATCCAACTACTCTTTCAGTTCTTGATTCTGAAAATCACACTGTTTTAAATGTGTTAGTCGATGTGGTAAATTTCACATTTTATCCATCCCCTCAACTTTGTTTTCTTTTTTCTGACTGTTTATGTGGTAAAATTCATATATGTTTTTTCTATTTTGAAATTTCTGTTGGCCTAGTTTTCCTTTTTGGGTCTTTCTGACATGTTCTGCTGCCAAAAAGGGGAAAGAAAAAAACAGTTGTCTGTGTATTTCAACTTCTTTAGTTATATTTCCAGGGTAATGCTGAGCGGCAAGTTCTTGTTCAAGATTATGACGTGGGAAAAGTTGTTGCTTTTGATTCGAGGAACTCAAATGTCAAGGAGGTCTACACATTAGACGGCTATAAAATGTTAGTAGCAACATGATTCATTGTTTATAAAGGGACAATTTCTTATTAATTTTAAGTGTTTCATTTAACAAGTACGTATGAGGTTGCAAAAGTGACGCACCCTCATAAAAATAAGTGAAATCTATTGCTTATATGTTCCTTCACGGTTGGGTTGGGAATTTTAGTTCCAATTACCTGCAACTTCTGTGGAGTCTACTCGCCGATTTGTAGTGCTTTTTCGATTATGATACTGGGTGGAAAAGGATAGGCCGCAATTATGAAATGACCTGCAAACACAATAGAGGTGATGTTTTCTAAGCAAGCTGGTCATTCATAAGCTTAATCATATCCAACTAGATCAAATAGTGTTATTTCTCTTAAACTTGCTTAAACTTAAATTAGAATCACAAAGAAATTTAGTTGAAGGCTATATAATGTCAATTTTTCTTCCATTTACTAATTTTCATGGCGATTGTTTTATGATTTAAGTTTTAGCAAGTTTACTGAAGAAACCTTTTAAATCTAGCTAGGTATGATGAAGCTTATGAATGAACACCTTGCTTAGAGGGCGTTACAAATATATTTATATGTTTCTTTTCACAACTCAAGTTAAGAACTTGAGTTGTGTATGTAAGAGAAAAGCACTGTAGCAAAAAAGTTGAATTTGAATTTTTTTGAGAGAAAACACTGTAGCAATAGAACTTTAGTTGTGAAAAGAACAAGCCCTTAATATTCCTATGTATGCCTTTTAATGACTAGAAATCTTAGCTGCAAAGTTGATCACAGATGCAGTATATATGCAGATGTTAGTGCTCATTTCTGGTGCTCCTCTTCAGTTAACTTAAGCTAAAGTGTGAAAAATTTGCTGGTTCTGTTATAACCCTTGGGTATAACTCATCGCCAAAAGCTAGCTTGTAGGGAGAGGATGCCCACGTGGTTATAAACCCACATGCTAAGCCCATTCTTTAGCAATGTGAGACTCAACTAGGATCCTAACATACCACCACGCTTCTGACACCAACGTCCACGGCGGCCCACTCTTGCCTTTCCAAGTCGCCCCTCCCCAGGTCGCCCCTTTTGCAACGTGGACCTGAGGAGGGGCATGCTCTGATACCAATTGTTATAACCCTTGGGTAGAGCTCATCTCCAAAAGCTAGCTTGTAGGGAGAGGGTGCCCAAGTGGTTATAAACCCACATGCTAAGCCCATACTTTAGCAATGTGAGACTCAACTAGGATCCTAACAGGTTCCAAATACGTTTTATTTGATTCTCTACTGAATATTAGCTGATGCAACTACTGTTCATTACAAAAAATATGGGCCTTGTGTAGTATCTTTAGGCTCTATCATTTTGATTTGGTTCAGTACTATTACTATTATTATTTTACTTTTCCAAGGAAGGTTTGGATTATTTTTTAAAGAAAGCAAGCATTCATTTCTATTTCCTTCTAGGTTTTCACGTGCTTCTGTTCAGACAATCCTTCCCCCGCCCCCAAGGAGAACTTCTAGAGCTCCGCGTCTTTGTAGTTCCTTTGATGAGCAAATAATGAATTTTGAGAGGGAAGCATCAGAGGTACGACAAGAAGCTCAAGAGTGCAGGAGGATGAAAAGGGATGCAGAAGAACAACTTCAACGCCTTCAAGATAGTGTACGGAGTGTCAAGGTAACTTTTTTTCTCCTGCTTTTTGGTGTGAGATTATGCATTTCCTTTATTTGGCCAATTTTTGTTCAGGTGTACACATTAGTATCATGTTGAGATGATTCTATGGTTAGATGTATAATTTTATAGTTTATTTCCTTCATTTATTCCTTTCATTCTTTTGATTAGTGGGTCTGACAAATGCTACTAGATCCTGAATTCCTGATTGGATTAGTGACTGGCTTACCTTATATTTTTGACCGCATTTTCTCCATTTGGATTTCTTGTCTTTTATTAAACGTACCTTTACATATTTTGTTTAATTAATTCTAATCCTTTGATTTCTTATCATTTTATTTTCCTTTCTCATTTCTTGTCTTATACAGTATGTTTATGTTAAGAGAGCAGACCTTTATGTACGTAGGTTTCACTCTGTAATTCATCTCATGATAAACATTAGTTCTTTCTCCCAAGCCGAAAACATTTATAAGATGTGTTCAAAGATCCTCATATAGGTAGATGGTTTTCCGGGCTCTTGAGTTGGTATATTGGGAAGGAGGTTACAACTTTTCCATCATTATCTTTTTGGTTAGGGGCATAGAGAAAAAGATATTGTAATACCAACTTACTCCTATACCATTTTGAACTAACTTACTCCTAGACCATTTTGGATCACTATATTTATCATATATTCCCTCTTTCTGTTCATGTATAGAGGAGACGGCATGATGCAGAGCGTGATTTGGTTTCCAAGAGACTAGCACTGCAAGATTTTAGGAAATCACAAGTTGTTGAAGCTAGTGCAACACCTGCATCAACCTCTGATGAGCTCCATCACGAAATTTCAGTTTGGTCCACGATATCTTTAAATTAGAATACGATAATTTATCCTCGCACCATGTCGTGCAGAAATTTTCTAAAGAATTTACACGTTTTCCTGCTGTGATTTCTTCTAGAGCAACCAAGAGAAGAAACAACAAAAGGAGGAGCAGCTGGAAAAGTTACGAATCAGAATGAGCGAAGCTGAGGCCAAGGTCAATCATCTTAGAGTATCACTTGAAAATTTAAGCAGTGAGTTATCGGTATGATACTTTTAAATACTTGGTTCAAATATAAATAACTGCAATATTAAATGTTTTTCCTTTCTTCTTGAAACAAAACAAATAACAGAGTCAGCAAAAGGAGAAATTGATGGTTTGGAGATAGCAGAGACAGATCTTATGCAGATGGACGAAGATCTACGTGCTGCAGAAGCGGTCTCATCCCCTTTTCCCGACTCCCTTCTTTTTTTTTTTTGGCCTTTCGGTGCTTAACAGTCTCTTAGTTTTGGACTATATAAGTTTACTAATGGAAAAGTCACCTATTTTTCCAGCAAGAAAAACACTATGGAGGATTAATGAACAAGGTGCTTGAGGAAATAAAAAAGGCAGAGGCAGAATATCAGGAACTTGAGCACCTCCGAAAGGTGTTATTCATGCCCTTGCTTCATGACAGTTTCTATAAATTTCAAGTAATAGTTTCATGAAAAAGCTTCTACAGAGATTTTAAGAGGGAATGATTATTTTGATGTCCTCTCCGATGAATTTAATTTAGCTGAAAAACATTTTGTGGTTTTCAGTGCTCAGGTAGTGCTTTTTCCTATATTTATACTACCATTTGAAATTCCTAATGAACCCTTTAAATGTACAAAAGATAAAATAGCTCTGTTTTGGTATCAACTAGTAGCTGAAGTTTAACTACTGCAGGAAAATTGTCGAAAGGCTTCTATTATTTGTCCCGAGTGTGAAGTTGAAGATATAGGTGGTTGCAATACTAGCACCCCGGAGCAACTCAGTGCCCAAATAACCACACTGGATCGGAGGCTTAAGCGAGAGAGCCCGAGGTATAGAATAATCATCTTTGTTCACTGTGTCTCATGAGGAAGTGAAGCTTTAGTTTCAAATAGTATACTTTCCCTTTCAGCGAGGGAAAGAAAAAAGAATTTTTTCTTAGTACAAACTGTTTCTGCAGAGTTTCTGAATCTATTGATGACCTCAAAACAATGTATGAGGAAAGAAAGCACAAGATTTTTGGAAAACAACAAAGAAACAAAGATTATCGGGAAAAGTTGGATGTGAGTAGAATGCCTCTAAACCCACACCCCTCCCACTTTTTTATTGCAAATTGCAATTACACAGGTTTAATGCGCTTACTACTGATGTTTTCTTACATGAATACTCTTGCTGTTGAAGGATTTTATCTAAGTGCTAATAATTGGTAATTAATAGTCATGTACTTCAACTGTTTCGTACTTGCACTGAAAAAATTAGGTCATTGTTTTATTTGGGTTCCCTTTTGTAGGCAGTCGAGTAATGATCATGATTGATTATGTATGTTGGGTGTCTTAGTGTTCGCAATAGAAGATTTTATTGCTATCCATGGGGTGGTTGGAATAGTTAGGCCTTTGGTTTTCTCCCACAAGGTCTAGAGTTCGAACCACCTCATGGACCTACATCGCAAAAATTATAGTTTCCTGCCTTTCAAAGATTGTAGGGTTTGGTGGAGGGTTCCAGTTTCTAACTTGGGCTTCCAAAGTGGGTTCGGGGGATTTCTGAGTATCAAAAAAGAAAAAAATAATTGGAAAATAGTAGAAAATAGGCCAATATGAAAAGCTTAAGAAAGTATATAGACCAATTTTTAGTTATAGAAATTAATAGGCCATAACTTGTCAAGTTATGGTTCATAACCAGATAAGTTATTGACAAAAACCGTGAATTATGGACAATAACTTGTCAAGTTATGGTTTATAACCAGACAAGTTATGGACGAAAACAGTAATTTGGCCTATTTATTAACTTATGTAAACTATTGGCCTATTAATTTTAATTCATCTCAAGTCTAAACATATTTCTCTCTTTCTCCCAAAATAATTTCATTTATGTTGGGCTGTGGAAACGTGTTTCATTTGTGATGTCCTTTTTAATTAAAAAATAAAAATCAATTTTGCCGTTAAGAGTTTACTGCTTTCTGTTTTTGTATTAAAATTACAGGCACTTCTAAAAGCCTTAGAATCGCGTCGAAGGAAATTTGAGCGGAACGCTGAGCTTTTGAGGCGCCAGATAACATGGCAGTATGAAATACTATCTTTTACAATAGTAAATCACAATTGTTATACCTTCTACTCCTTTTTCACTTTTCTATTTGATGATATTGTTTAGTTGAAAATTTCATATCTTTAATAATTAATTTGATGTTTGTATTAGATTCAATAATCATCTCACAAACAAAGGGATCAGTGGACATATCAATGTTAGTTATGAAGAAAGAACTCTCTCTGTTCAGGTAAGTACGATTGTTTTTACCCGATGGCCTTGTTAATTCATATTTAGTCAATTACTTTATACCCTTACACTTCTGCATTTCTTTCACCTGCTTAGCTAGGTAGCCTGTTTCTGTGTCTGTGTGCTTTTCCCTTGGCTACCTTAGATTGAACTTATAACAGCTATTTGTTTTACACTTTTACTAGGTAAAGATGCCGCAAGATGCATCACGCAGCAGTGTTCGTGACATTAGAGGACTTTCAGGTTTTCTTTTTCAACTCATTTGCTATCAGTCTGTCAAACTGGTTTGTTTTTGAAAGCTTCGTGTAGTATAATTGCATCGGGTAGAATTGCATTTTTTTAAAAGAAAGGTTTTCAAATTACTAATAGTACTTTGGTATGCTTTATTCAGATTAACTTGAGTTCATATTCTTTCGGTCTGGAGTTCTCTGACTTTTATTGGTATAAAACAGTTAGTCAATAATTAAAACAGTTAGTTCCCTTGTGACTTTGTCAATAATTATACTTGATACCTTGGACTTTGTCAATAATTATACCTGATACCCCTGAATCGAAGCTATTTAGACTTCCATTGTGTTAATCCACATTCCATGAATTGAGTGTCTTGTGAAACGACAGAAAGCATATTGTAATTCTGACCATTCATCTCTATATAAACGTATCTCTACTTGGGGCTTTTTAGTCTTATTTGAGCACTTAATACTTTTATATGTGTAAAGTAGTCTAATTATGCTTGGGTGCATTCAGTTAAATTTGAGCACTGACAATCAACAAATTTTTTTCCCTTACCTTTGACTAATGGGGCAAACTAAACGTGGGACTGTTTGGCTAATAGGTTTATGCTGTTTGAACCATGAGCCCATTCCAAACCAGTGTATTGGTGCACAAGTTTCGGCTCCAGTTTGAACCATGATGTGATGGTTTTGTTGACAAATTTCCCGTTTCTGGTTTCCTATTTTCTAGGGATCTGTTTCCTATTATCTCTCTAGTTTTAATTTTGTGATTTATTCCTTAAATTAAGGGATTGTTAGTTTCTACAATCGTGGAGAATTATTGACAGATTTGTTGTCAAGTTTCTATATAAAAGGCCTTTGCTTTTCACGTAATAAAGTATGAGAGAAAAACTTTCTTCTATTCCATATTTCTTCATGGTATCAGAGTTGGTAACGATACTTTCTGTTAACCGCCTTCGTCTCCCTCCTCTCTCTCTATTTTTTTTCCTCTCCATCTACGCTCTCAGCGATTCAGAACTGCAGCGCTGCAGCACTTCCGCGTATAATTTCGGCACCGCCTCTCTCTAGTTTTAATGGCGGGCAGACCTCCAACATTTCCCTGGGGAACGGCCATGACCGGCACCAAAGGGAATGACAGCTCGGAGACCTCGGTCCCCTTGCAGCTGACCCTAAATGACGGCTGCCACAGTTCATGCCCCTTACTCAGATAATTCCTCTCTCCAAATCACCTCTCATAAACTCAATGGAAAAAATTACCTGCCATGGTCGCGATCTGTGGAGATTGGTTATTCGAGGGAAAGGCAGGTATGGCTTATCTTGATGGGTCTACCAAGAAACTTGAAGAGTCAGATTCCTCTTTCCAGACTTGGGATGCTCAGAATTCAATGGTAATGGCCTGGTTAATCAACTCCATTGATGAGAAGATTAGTGAAAGCTTTATGTGCTACACAACTGCCAAGCACATGTGGGAGGTAGCCAAGAGACAATATTCTGATCTTGAAAATTTGTCTCAATTGTTTGAACTACGAAACAAGACTCGCAATCTAACTCAAGCCGAGATGGATGTTACAACTTATTTCAATGCTCTTACAAAATTATGGCAGGAAGTAGACCTATTTAATAATGGTCATTGGCTATGTTCAGGATGCATTGAGAATCATCAAAAGGTGGTGAACAAGGAAAGGATCTTTGATTTCCTTTCGGGTCTTAACAAGGACCTGGATGAAGTTCGTGGGCGTCTACTTGGCTCTAAGCCACTGCCAAATATTGAGGACATTTTTGCTGAAGTTCGAAGAGAAGAAACTCGCAAACATGTGATGCTTGGTACTGTAAAATCCACAACTGAGAACTCTGCCTTCTCAGCCCGCGGACTTGAAAATTCTCGCGGGGAATCCCGGAGTCAAAAGAAGAGTGGCAGTCTTTGGTGTGATCACTGCCAGAGATCAAACCACAGCCATGATAAGTGCTGGAAATTGCATGGTAAACCTGTTAATTGGAAGGATGCTCGCAACAATAGAAGGGATTCCAGAGGTCTTCAAGTTACTACAGATACTGCATCAAGGACTAGTGACAACAACTTCAATTTCTCTCTAAGCAAGGAGGAAATGGAACAGCTGTACCAGAGCCTAAATGCCCAATCATCCAACCACAGAGTCAATCCACTGCCCAAGGTCAGTAGTCATAGCCAGCCTCGAGTACCTCACTTTTGGCCCAAAAAGGTACTTTCATGACTGCTTTAAGTGGTATATCTGAAACGCCTGAACCCTGGGTGATAGACTCCGGGGCTACGGATCATATGACAAGTTGTGCGAATCTCTTCTGTTCTTATAAACCTAGTCCAGGGAATTTGAAAATTAAGATTGCAGATGGTTCTCTTGCAATGGTTGCTGGTACCGGTACCATTAATATTAGTCTTCAAATAACTCTCAAAGATGCTCTCCATGTTCCAAAGTTATCATGCAATTTACTATCTGTTAGCAAGATTATCAAAGATCTAAATTGTACTGCCCAGTTCTCACATTCATATTGTAAATTTCAGGATATGACTTCGGGCATGAGGATTGGCAGTGCTAAGGAACACAATGGTCTCTATGTTATATGGTAGTGAATGTTGGACCATTAAGAGACAACATATATCTAAGATGAGTGTGGCAGAAATGCGTATGTTAAGATGGATGAGTGGTCATAAGATAATAGATTGCATAAGGAATGAAGTTATTCGTAGTAAAGTACGTGTAGCACCAATAGAAGATAAGGTGCGTGAAGGCCGCTTGAGGTGGTACGGGCATGTCCAACGTAGACTGTTAGAAGCACCAGTTCGTGCTTGGGAGGACATTCTTATACCTAATACTAGGAGAGGGAGGGGTAGGCCAAGAATTACGTGGACCAAAGTCGTTAGGAAAGACATTCTAGATCTAGGCATTCAAGATAGTTTAATTTCGAATAGAGTTGTGTGAAAAAGTGAAATCCATATAACCGACTCCAATTAAGTTGGGATTAAGACTTGTTGTTGTTGTTGTTGTTGTTGTATCTAGAGAACAACAAATAATGTTATGGCACTCTAGGTTAGGCCATCTAGCTTTCAATATCAAAAACAATTGTTTCCTTCTCTTTTTCGAAATAAAGATGTTTTTCAATGTGATGTTTGTAAAATTGCTAAGCACCAAAGGTCGGTTTTCCCTTCTCAGCCATATAAATCTTCCAAACCATTTGCATTAATTCATAGTGATATATGGGGTCCTTCACGGGTACCAAATGTAACGGGAAAAAAATAGTTTATCACATTAATTGATGATCACACACGGATTACCTGGGTTTATCTTCTAAAAGAAAAAGGTGAGGCTGAACAAACGTTCAAACACTTTCATTTGATGGTGAACAACCAGTACAGTGCAAAAATACAAATTTTACGTACTGATAATGAGAGAGAGTACTTTAAGTCCATTCTAGGGGGTATTTTTTAGAAAATGGAATTATTCATCAAAGCTCATGTGTTGATACTCCTTAACAGAATGGGGTGGTTGAAAGAAAAAACAGACATCTCTTAGAAGTAGCTCACTCAATTATGTTCGCTAATAACGTCCCTAAATGTTTTTAGGGTGATTCCATTCTTACAGTCTGCTATCTTATAAACTGTCTTCCTACCCGGGTTCTCAACTACAAAATACCTTCCCAGTTCTTCCTTCAATACTACCCACAAACAAGGTTAGTGAGTTCGTTACCCCTCAAAGTGTTTAGTTGTAAGTCTTTTTTCATGTTCATGTCCATAACCGAAGCAAACTAGATCCCCGAGCTCTACCTTGTATTTTTCTTGGGTATTCAGCCACTCAAAAAGGGTACTGTTGCTATTCTCTGGAAAAACGCAAATACTTAGTCACTATGAATGTCACCTTTGAAAACCAGCCCTTTTACCACAAAAAATCTCTTCAGGGAGAGATTGGGGATGAAGCCATTTTTTGGGAACCCACACCAAGCCCTATCCTACCTCTCCCAGCCGATCCACCCACACCAACCGAGCAAACAACCGATCCACCCACTCCAGCCGAGCAAACAAAAGAACCCACACCAGCCACAAATGACCTGGAGTTTGCCATGAACATTGACGACTCTAGGAAAGGGGGAGATTCACAACAGCAACCTGAGTTATGTGTTTATTCTCGGAGAAAAGCCTCACAAAGAATAGTTTACGTTGTGGACCTAGTCTTGCCATGAATCAGAACTGAATTCATCATCTGAGGTTAGTGATCTTGATTGTCCTATTGCTTTGAGAAATGGAGTTCGTTCTTGTAATCAGCATCACAGTTCCAATTATGTTTCCTACAGTCATTTTTCACCTTCTCTCCAAGCTTTTATTACTAACCTGTCAGAAGAGAAGATTCCTAGAGATATATAAGAGGCTTTGAGAATTCCAGAATGGAGAAAGGCAGCTACAGAGGAAATACAAGCTCTTGAAAAGAATCAAACTTGGAATCTCGTAGAAAAACCTGAAGGGAAAGCTTCAGTGGGGTGCAAATGGGTGTTTACTGTGAAGTATCGATCAGATGGGACGATTGAGAGATACAAAGCAAGACTGGTTGCCAAGGGCTTCACTGAAACATATGGTATTGATTACAATGAGACTTTTGCCCCAGTTGCCAAGCTCAATACAGTTAGAGTACTTCTATCTCTTGCAGCAAACCTGGATTGGGATCTACAACAACTTGACGTGAAAAATGCATTACTCAACGGTGATTTGGAAGAGAAAAGTCTACATGGATCTACCACCGGAATTTGACAAAGACAGGAAGAATGGGAAAGTCTGCAGACTAAAAAAAACACTCTATGGTTTGAAGCAGTCCCCAAGGGCCTAGTTTGGCAGATTCACAAAGGCGGTCTTACAACAGGGGTATAGGGAAGCTCATACTGACCATACCCTCTTTTATCAACACAAAGATGGTAAGAGTACAATTCTTATTGTCTATGTGGATAACATATTTTTGACAGGAAATGATACAATGGAGATGACAAGATTAAAAATTAGACTGGCAGCTGAATTCGAGATAAAAGATCTTGGACCCTTACGCTACTTTCTTGGTATGGATGTTGCTAGAAACAAGAAAGGAATATCAGGCACTCAAAGAAAATATGTCTTGGATCTGTTAAAGGAAACATGGATGCTAAGCTGTAAACCGGTAGACACACCGATAGACTCCACAACAAAGATAGGAGACAAGAAAGATGGAACTCCGGTTGATACTGGGAGATACCAGCGACTAGTTGGAAAGCTCATCTATCTTTCCCACACCAGACTAGATATTGCATTCGCTGTGATTGTTGTTAGTCAGTACATGCATGCTCCCTACGAAGAGCACATGGAGGCTGTACTCCGAATTCGAAAGTACCTCAAAGGATCGCCTGGTATAGGTTTGTTTTTCAACAAAAATGAGTCCAGGAGTATCGAGGGATTCACTGATGCAGATTGGGTAGGTTTTATTGAAGACAGGAGGTCTACTTCAGGGTATTGTACATTTGTATGGGGCAATCTAGTTACTTGGCGAAGCAAGAAACAAACAGTTGTGACCTGGAGTAGTGTTGAGGTTGAATTTCGAGCCATGGCTCACAGTATTTGTGAAATGCTATGGTTGAAACTATTGCTTGAAGAATTGGAGATGAAAATAAATCTCCCTCCAAAGATTTACTGTGATAATAAGGCAGCCATAAGTATTTCCCACAATCCAATCCATCATGATCGGACAAAACATGTGGAAGTGGATAGACACTTTATCAAAGAAAAAATTGAGGATGGTATATTGTGCATAACCTATGTGTCTACTGGTAATCAAGTTGCAGATGTACTAACAAAAGCTCTAGTGAGGAAGATGTTCGAAAGACAGATTGACAAGTTGGGCATGTTCAATCTTGATAACCTAGCTTGAGGGGGAGTGTTGACAAATTTCCCGTTTCTGGTTTCCTATTTTCTAGGGATATGTTTCCTATTATCTTTCTAGTTTTAATTTTGTGATTTATTCCTTAAATTAAAGGATTGTTAGTTTCTACAATCGTGGAGAATCATTGATAGATTTGTTGTCAAGTTTCCATATAAAAGGCCTTTGCCTTTCACGTAATAATGTATAAGAGAAAAACTTTCTTCTATTCCATATTTCTTCAGGTTTAAACCAGTCTATCTTTCATTTAGTATTTTGGATTTTGGTGATCACATTTTCCCCAAGAAAATTCCCTAAGCTAAACGAATAAGACGGTGTTAATTAGTTGGTTTCTATGACGGGGTTTTACTTTTATTTATTTTTATTTTTTATTTTTGGCTTTATATGTTATCTGATGGAATTGTTTAAGAGGTCAAGTTTTAGAAATTTGACATGGACCAACTGATCATTTAATTTTGGTTTATATCAGGAGGGGAACGCTCGTTTTCAACGTTGTGCTTTGCTTTGGCTCTTCATAATATGACTGAAGCTCCATTTCGAGCGATGGACGAGTTTGATGTGTTTATGGTATGAACTTAATTCATGCATGCTACCGCTACATGCATGTTCATGTTTAGATGCAGATATTTATTTCTTGCCATACTTATGATCTCTTTTTATACTTCAATTGATTGGAAACACGTCGCATTACAAATTTTATGCTTTGCATATTGTCTGCAGGATGCTGTAAGTCGGAAAATTAGCTTAGAGACTCTTGTTGATTTTGCTCTGACTCAAGGATCTCAATGGATATTTATTACTCCTCATGATATCAGGTACGGTTCAATTTTGATATCTTGATTCCTTTCTGGCGCATTCTTGATGGTTTTTGTGATTGTTTGGTGTCACTTTGAACTTGGCATTGTTAATACTGCATTTTTAGCTGACTTGCATATATTTCAGTTGATTGCTTTGCCCTTGAGTAAGTATGGCCCAGTTGGCCCAATCCAATTCGGGGCTTTGTTTCAATGTTTGCATTTAAGTTTTACATGTGAATAAGATGTGCTTGTTTTTGTTGTCGTTTACAAAGTAGCTGAATTTACATTGAGCTAGTAGAGCCAGGCTTTGTTTTAACTATATGGTTTCAAATGCTGTCAATGTCCTTTCTGTGGTAAATGATTTTTTGTGGAATGATATTTGTTTTTTCAATTTGCTGCTTTTGATTCACAGCATGGTAAGGCAGGACGAGAGGATAAAAAAGCAGCAAATGGCAGCTCCTCGCTCTTGATTACTTGGTCAAATTCACTGTTTACATGGCTATGCCAAGGCCTAATTATCCATTTTGATCAGATGGTAACCTTTTCTCATACCATCTTCAAGCAGACCACTAACGTGTTGAATTATGGATTTCTTTTGTGATTCTAAAAATGAATAGCAAGATTTTACCTTGTTCATAGGTCTGTATTTTGTCCTGTACATGAGGATCCTTTCTCTGAATGACTTATCATAGAACAATCACTTGGTTTAAATTATGTGGCTAACATCTGGGAGCCAGTAAATGATGACAGGGTAAAAATGCATTCAATCGCTTGGATGATATTATTTTGGTTTGCTTTATATGCACAATGACTTTGGTAGGACGTGTCTTAGAGACGGAATTTTACACTATGTTAGGAAAAAAATTTAACGTGAAATAATTATTATAACCTCAAACCATTCACCATATTTTTATTTATTTACGTCGTTTTCTTAAGTTTTTGTCTCTCATGTTTTACGTTGCGTCTTACGTTGTCGTTTTCATGAAAATGGTATTGTTTTCTCCAGTCCGTTATATAATGAGTTTATTGTCGTTTCCCTATGTTGAGTCGGTTATCCAGTTGGTGATGTTTACGCAGAGTACATTAATACGTCCCTGTACGAGACAATTGTTGTTTCTTATGCTGTGTTGTTTTTGTTGACGTTAATTTAGGTCATTGTCGTTTTCTAGTCGATATTGTTAATTTAGATTATTGTTGTTTTTCTAGTTGACGACATTAATTAGGTTAGGGTCGTTTTGTTTTTCAAATTGACGTTTTCTATAATGTTGTGTCGTGTTCGTGTTATGTTTTGATCGTTTTTTTTTTAATTTGTAGTCAACCCAAACACGACTCGTGATACGAAATTTTTTAAAAACCGCAACACGAACACGATACGATCACTTTACAGGTTGACATTACACGACACGAAAATGACTCGTGATATGAAATTAATCCGTGAACCCGAAATTGACACGAAAATTATATACTTTTCTTTAGTTTTTTACATGTTAGTAATAACTCAAAATTCATAACACACTAAAATACAATAACATTTATCAAAATTAAGCAAATAATAATATAAGATTTTAAGTATAATTATCATGATATTACAAGTTCATAATAAAATTTAAAATATGTAATGAAATATATATATATATATTAATTTTTTACGAGTTTCGTGTTGTGTTAGGGTTAGGCGGGTCTAACCTGAAATTGGTCAGTGTTTTTCACGTTAATTTTAGACCGATTCAATTATGACCTGAATTTTTTTTTTCTCAGCCCAAATCCGTAAAATTTATTTCATTTTCGAATTGTGTTATTGTGTCGTGACCCATATTACCGAACTTAACTCCAAGTCCATGCCATGGTTTGCTATCCCCTACCGTGAAAACATTTTGAAGTATAAACGGCTATTTTGGTGGGGTACTTTAAAATGGTAGCAAGTTTTTAACTAATTGATTAGCCCATATATAAGTTTCTATGTGCTACGAATAATACTGGGGCGCATACCTGTCACATCTCAATTATTGGTTAACGACTTGACGTTGATGAAAATATGGGTACTCAATTAAAAAATAATAATAATAACAAAGAAAACATTGACTACTGAAAAACTATAAATGGTTGCATTAAAAGTATAATATAAAAATTATTAAAAAAAATTTGTATACTACTTGCGTTTACATGTAAGTCCATATTTTTGAATTAATATTTAAATTTTGTACCATATTCAAATACACAAGTAAAAATATTTCTACTCTTAAGTGAAAATGTATCATTCATGTATTATACACGAATGCAAAGTATTCACTATTACACGCAAAGTATTCAATCTTTACAGTTTTTATTTTTTACCACTTGCATATTTTAAATTTAGTATATGTACCTTTTCGAATTCAAATTTGATCGAAATATTTATTTATTTATTTTGAATATTTATACGTCAGATGATTTTATCTTGTAATAATATTATAGTTACGTTCTTTTTGATATAGACATAAGGTTTGTTCGTTTGTATATAAACTCAAAAAAAAGTTTGAATTCAAGTTATAATTTTATTTAAGTTCATGTTTTTTTTTTTTTTTTTTTTTTTTTTTTTTTTTTTTTTGTAAAATTTGAGTTTGGGGTTAAAATCTGAGTTCAATGCCTCGTTCACTTCGCAGATTCGAGTTTTCAATTCGAGTTGAGATGTGGTATTTTTTGAGAGCTTTTCACTGTAGCAGAAAAAGTTAGATGTGACATTTTTTGAGAGTTTTTTACTATAAAAACCTAAAACTGAAAACTCAAATTGGTGAAATGAACGAAGCCTAAGTTTTCTCTTCAACTCAAGTTTCTAAACTCAAACTCTTTTTTCATTTTAATTCCGATTGAGATGATTTTTTTTCTATGTATTTACTACGAAGAGATGAATAAAATCTTACACATATACCCCATTAAAATTTTCCATCACCACTAATTTTTATTAAAATACTATTCAAATACAAATTCAAGTTTTGACCCATCCAAACACAAACTCAAATATATTCTCAATTCAAATCATAACTCAAAATGTGCACATCTAAACACAAATTTAAATTAGAGTCTCAATTTAAACTATACACAAATACACATTAACTCAAATTAAAATATGAACTTAAGTCATCATAACTCAAAAACTCCATAAGAACAAGCTCATATTCTTTTGTGACGAATTTGAACGGGTACTTTCTTTAGAAATTCAGATTATACGTTTAATCATTTCTCAAATTCTGTTTAACACACTTTTATCAAAGTTTAAATAATGTTTTATGATTTACTCGTATTAATACTATTTCATTAAGTTTTGCTTTATTTTCCCAAGCAAAAAAAAAAAAGTTTTGCTTTCTTTATTTAGGGGATGTTTGGTTAGAGAATTTAAACTATAATTTGAATCATAATTTATAATTCACTATAATATTTTTTCTTATAAAAAATACACATAAATCTAAAATAATTTTAATCACATAATTCTAATTCATAAACCAAATATTTTTTAAAAATTTCACAGCTGGCTTCTCGAACGACACTGTGTAAAAGAAGTTAAAATTCAAAATCCTCGATAGAAGACAAAAAGTGCCCCAAGTCCAACGGCTTCTTAAATGATTAGAATAAGTTCAAAATCTCAAGAACTCCTCTCGTCGCATTCAAAGCCCGTTGGTTAACCTAAAAAGCAAGAGAAACTCAAATTGAAATCAAGAGAACATCCAGCGAAAACCATAAAAGATCCATGAATTGAAAAAAAAAAAAAAAGAAGAAGAAAAAACTTGGAAAAAAAATGGGATGCAGAGTAGCTGCTTCAGCAGAAGAACAAGAAGAAGAAGGAGCAGAAGCAGAGCAACAACAAAAACAGCCGCCACCGCCTGCAACGATGTCGTTTCCTACCGACAAACCAAACCCTAAAACACCATTGAAGAAGCGGTGGTCGGACCTCTGGCCGAAGAAGAAGACCGCCATTATCAACAACAACAACAACAACAAAAATCTCAATCTCAACCATGTCGTTTACGCCATGAAGCTTCAATCCTCTCTCTCCTCTTCGTCTCCCAACAAAACCCTAGACCAACCAAAAATCCCCAATTCCTCCGATCGGACCCTCCTGTTGTCCGACGAGATTCTCCTCAGAATCCTCTCGAAGCTTCCGAAGTCGCAGCGCAGCGCCAACTCCCTCGTCTGCAAGCGCTGGCTCGCCCTCCAAGACCGCCTCCTCCGGTCCCTCAAGCTTCTCGATTGGGGCTTTCTCCACTCCGGCCGATTGACCTCCCGCTTCCCCAATCTCACCCACGTCGACCTTCTCCCCGGGTCTCTGATCCCCGTCCAAAACGCTGACGTTTTGCTCAACCGCAGAAACTTCTCAGTTCATGTAAATTCTCGGTTTTCCCCCGACGATTCCGACTTCTTCCACCCGCATTTCCTTCCGGTCGACGTAATCGACCGGGGGCTTAACGAATTAGCCGCCGGTTGCCCCAATCTCCGGAAGCTCGCGGTGATCAATGCCAGTGAAATGGGTCTTTTGACTGTGGCTGAAGAATGCTCGACTCTACAGGATCTGGAGCTTCACCGGTGCAACGACAACGTTCTGCGCGGCATCGCAGCGTGCGAGAATTTGCAGGTTTTGAAGCTGGTGGGCAGCGTTGATGGGTTTTATAGTTTAGTGGTGTCGGATATTGGGTTGACCATTTTGGCTCAGGGGTGTAAGAGATTGGTGAAGCTTGAGCTAAGTGGGTGTGAGGGAAGCTTTGATGGGGTGAAAGCGATCGGACAGTGTTGCCAAATGTTGGAAGAGTTTATCATCTGTGATCATAGGATGGAAGGTGGGTGGTTGGGTGGGGTGTCGTATTGTAAGAATTTGAAGACATTGAAGTTTGTGTCTTGTAAGAGGATTGATGTGAGTAGTCCTGGGCCTGAGGAGTATCTCGGATTGTGTCCTGCTCTTGAGAGGCTGCATTTGCAGAAATGTCAAGTAAGGGACAAGAAGACTGCGAAAGCTTTGTTTGGGATGTGTGGGGCTGTGCGGGAGATTGTTTTTCAGGACTGTTGGGGGTTGGAGAATGATGTGTTCTCTCTTGCCAGTTATTGCAGGTAATAGTTTTTTATTTATTCTATATATATATATATATATATATGGTTTTGTCTTTGATTTGTTTACTTTTGGTAGTGACCAAGATAGTGAGATTCTATGCAAGTTACTGACTTTTGGATGATCTTTTGGTGTAAATTTGTCGACGTTTTAGATATTTGATGAATATTCTGTGACATGATCAAATTTGCTTTTCGGAAGGGTCCAGAAGGAGGTCCCTTATGATGGTTTCTTGATCAATTTTTGCTTTATTGAAAGGTGTAGAACTTATGTATGTACAGTACTGAGAGTAGAAACTTGTGTTTTACCTTTATGACTTGTAGAATTTTACTATAATTGTGTTTTCATTAGATCGATTAATTGGTGTTAAATGTTATTACAGGAGGGTAAAGTTTGTATCTTTAGAAGGGTGCTCATTGGTGACAACAGATTGTCTAGAATCTGTGATACTTTCCTGGAAGGAGATTGGAAGCCTTAGAGTTGTAGCATGCAAGAACATAAAGGATAAGGATATCTCTCCTGCACTGTCTGCCTTATTCTCTCTTCTTAAAGAGTTGAAGTGGAGACCAGACACCAGATCTCAGTTTACATCAAGTGCCATGGGAACGAGCATAGGGAAGAAAGGCGGTCGGTTTTTCAAGAGGATACACTTTGATCAAAGTCTATTGCACCTTTGATGATCATAAAATTCTGCTTTGTTCTTGGATGATTCAAATGGACGCTGCAAAAGGGTCTTGTGCTTAAAGACCAACTTTGACCTTTTTCCGTTTTCTTCATGTACACTCTACTCTAGCTTTGTAATAGTAGCAAGTAATACGTCTGTATGACCAACTTAACTTTAGTTCTGTGCGAGCCCTAAATGCTGTTAGTTTTTGTTTTACATACTAATGTTTCTACAGTAGTACAATGTATAAACATGCTTGTGAACGTTTACTGGTGCAATATATGCAAGTTTTGTAGTTTGAATAAGAAAATCAGTGTTCTCACTCAACATTCTTGTTATGCATCTATGACTCAACAATGAATTCTTGTTATTCAACTACAATCACACTTAAGGGCTAAGAAAGTGCTTTTGTACGAGGAAGATTTCCTTTTTATTTTTTTTTTATTTTTTATTTTTGTGCAAGTCATAAGCTGTAATGACTAGGAGGACGTTTGGTTTATGTACGCAAAATTATGATTTAAAATTATTTTCGTTTTACGTGTATTTTTTGTGAGAAAAAATACTGTAGAGAACGATGAATCATGATTCAAAATTATAAACGAATATAGGAAACAAACGTCCCCTAGAATTTACTTTCAACTTGAAAGGTATTTGTTTAAAGCATATCTTTAAAATGCACCATTATCAAATATCAAAGCCTTATTCTTTTGGAGTGTAACTTGAGTGTAGTTTTTGAGTTGAATTTGAGTTATAACTTGAGTTGAAGTTGTAACTTGAATAAAGTTGAGTAAAGTTGAATAAAGTTAAAACTTAAAAAAACGTAAATTTGAATAAAATTAGAACTCAAATTATCTTTTTTTGAGTTTTTTTAGACAAAAGAACCTGCCCCAAGTATTGCCCAATAACCAATTTATTACTTAGTAGTTAATTAGACGACCAGCAAACAGATGTCCTATGTTAAGACTCAAGAGGTGCTTACTAATTCTTATTTTTACTACTATTTCATATTAATGATGAGGCTTAGCCTATTTGATAAGTTCAATTAGTTATTGTTGACTCATGTCGAAATCCAAGTTAGTTTTCTTTTTTAAACACCAATAATATATGATCTTTATTTGTCAATTGTCACACGACATTATGAACAAAAGTGTAACACCTTAGTGAAATTAATTTCATTTGAAAATCCCAATATAAGGTGCTTTTTTTTTTTCCGCTGCGGAAAAATACTTGAGGAAAAAAAAAATTCTAAAAAAAAGGAGCACAAACAAGTATTGGCTCAGGACCACCACCCTGATGACGTGGCAAAAAATCTAAAAGTGATAAATGAAAACGAACAGCAGAGAATCAAAACCTCGTTCACGCAACACAGACAGCGGACTCTGATGCCCCGATTCTGCGGTTCACTCGTCGTGACAGAGAGACAATCGGAAAGTTGGATAGAGAAAGAGGAGAGAGAAACTAGAGAGAGAAGATGAACAAAGAGAAGGGAATAATGGTGCCATATCCTGACGACAACACCAACGAAAAGCACGGCATCCATGGCGGCGACGAGAACGACGCCTCCTTCCCTTCCTCCGGCAGACACTCTTCTCGCAATGCTTCCTCCAAATACGACTTCGTAAAGGTCCTTTCTTTCTCGCTTTCTGACTCTCTCTCGGTGTTTGTTTGGTCGTCGGGAAAATTTATCATCACGGATGTCGAAATTACGATTTTTATTTTTATTTTTTTGGTTAATCTAATTACAGGTGAAGGTGTGGTTGGGTGATAATGCCGATCACTACTACGTGCTTTCCAGGTTTTTGCTCAGTAGAATGTTGACTGTTACTAAGGTTTCGAATTCGTACCCGCTTCATGCATTTTTCAAATTTTGGCTCCTTGTTTTTCCTTTTTCCCTTAAATTTCTTTTCTTTTTTGGTTGTCATATTCTGATACTTCGAAATATTGAATCCGTCATGTCATCTACCAATTACTTTAAACGAATTTATATATTAAATAAATTCGTATATTAAATAGTAGATTTGATGGCATATATTAAATAGTAGATTTATCAGCTTAATTCGTCACTTATAGTTCTCCTTTGTTTTCACTCTTTAATCTGAAATAGGAGTCATGAATATATTTGTGTGTGTATCTATCTATATATGGTACTTGATTTTTTGATTTTATGCAATGAATTGTGGTGATTTCAGATCCCAAATCATGTAGCTATAAAAATTGCGCTCGAGCTGAAGAAGCTGCTTATCGATAACAGCCTCCTAGACGTGTATGTCATATGCCCATCACTTTTCCTTAATTTTATTGATTTTATTGGGTTTGTGTGTGTGTGTGTGTGTGTGTGTGTGTGCTTAATCATTACTGAAGGTCGTTTGCTTGAATTATTATGGGACTTTTTCAGGTCTCAGTCTGATTTGGAAGCTAATCTGTTTAAGGTGTGTCATATGCGGTCTTTCATTATTTTGCCTTATGCTATTACTTTTGACAAGAGTTAACTGGGAGGTATGCACAGCTTATGGAGCGAAGGGGCTATGCGGAGGAGTACATAAATCGTTACAAGATGATGACCAGGTTAGTGTACTGCAAATCTAGAAAGCAAAAATCTTGTTGTGCATTGAAAACTTGTATGTATAGGTTTTGAAGTGAGTTGAAAAAGTAATAATGACAAGATTGAGATAGTTATTCGAAATGAACAAAAGGAAAACAGAAAACAGTAAATGAAGTGGGTAAAATTTACTGCATAATATGGAATTTTTCCCCCCTCACAGGTTTCACCATCAACGAGTGCCATTTGTCATTCTTGTTTGCGGAACCGCCTGTGTTGGGAAGTCTACCATTGCTACCCAACTAGCACAGAGGCTAAATTTGCCCAATGTCTTGCAGGTTCTTATGTGTATCTGTAGATGCTCTCTCTCTCTCTCTCGCCCCGCGTGTATGCTAAAATGCAATACCTTTGACACCTTAATTTTATTATTTATTTTTACAGACAGACATGGTATATGAATTGCTGCGCACGTCAACAGAGTATGTCTTGAATTTATTTATATCCTTAATTTTTTCTAAACTTTATTGTATAACATCGGAAGCTATTTGGGAACGACTATATGATTTTGTGATCAGCGTGTTTGGCTGAGAAAGTACTTTTGATGTAGTAATGGTTTAGTTTTATTTTATATGGGATTGTGCATGTGAAGATCAAACTCTCAAAATAAAGGAGTAGAATTAAATAAGGACTTTAAAGATGTCTGCGTGGGCTTATGGTACTTGTACTTTTCTTTTTACATGATCAGTGCACCATTGGCATCAACTCCTGTATGGGCACGAGACTTCAGCTCTCCTGAGGAATTGATTGCTGAATTTTGTCGGGAATGCAGAGTTGTTCGTAAAGGTAGCAGCTTCTCTGTTGCAACAATAATTTGCACTACCACTATAATTATAGAACTTAAGCATGTGATAGTTTCAAGTTTATGTATTGATCATACGTATTGTGATGCACGCCTTTCAGGTTTGGCTGGTGATCTGAAGAAAGCAATGAAAGATGGAAAGCCAATTATAATAGAGGTACGGTTAACCTTTTGATTTTTTGAGAAGGCGAATAGTTATCTTTTTCTTTCATTTGATTTTCTTCCCATATCTCATGTAATTGATAGGCCTCCAGTATGTTAGGTAGTTAGTAGTTGGCTGAGTTGGTTAGTTTGAATGTTAGATTGTGAGTTGTTGTGAAGTTGTCAGGAGGTTATTTTTCTGTCAAAAGAAACAGTTGTGCTGTTAGCAAGTGCATAGCAGTATAGGGGTATTAGTGAGAGGGGTAGGCAATTAGTGGCAACAGGTTCAACTTAGGTTGTGGGGAGTGAGACAGGCTCTCGAAATCCTATTAAAGCTGTAGTTCATTACTTCATTCTTTCTTTCAGATTCAGAGAGCACTTTAAAGAACTGAACTTAGGAGTCACGTGATAATTTTAATTTTGCTCTTACCAATTTCAAAGGGTTCGCTACTTCTAAAGAATTACCGTTATATGGTATGTTTATGAGGTCCCCATACCCATTCTTATATGTGTATTTTGTGTTTGGTCAGAGTATGCTAGTATATTTTTCGTTACCTGTCTTAAGACTTAACTATGTTATTGCCTTTATCAAAAAAAAAAAAAAAAAAAAAAAACTAAGTTATTGCTAGAATGCCATAAGAATTAATAAGTTCCTTTTGCACTTAATAATCTCACTTGCTGCTTGTATAATCTCCATTCTCTGTCTGCTGAAATAATGTCAGGGAATACATTTGGATCCAAGTATATATCTAATGGATGATGAAAGTAAATTACCACCTGACACGCAAGAAAAGGTCAAAGAGGAAAAAAGTGAGACCGTTGTATCAGATGATTCTAAAACACAAATGGAAAACAATTCTTCAAGTGTTTCTGTAATCGAGAACGAAGTTTGTAAGTGTGAGCAGCATGTTAATTCACTAGAAGGAATGTCAGCCAATGAGGTGAACGAAGTGTCTGATAGTTTGAATGCTATTGATATAAAAGGAGCTGCTCATGATAATAAAGGTTAATCCTGCTCTTAATTCTGCTCATTAGAATGATTTTTACTTCAGCCACTCCTATCCCTGTGCTGAAACATATTTGTATCATACCTGCATGTGTATGCTTGTAGACACACACACACACACAAACACAGATATGATTGTTGGTGCACATGCGCAAGTGTATGATAGATTTACGTATCTATTTCATTGACCGTATAGCATGGAGGATGTTAGTTCTGTAACTAGTGTTGACTTGCAGGTGATGGTCTTACAAGTCATACAGATAAATCTACTCCTGTTAAGAAAGAAAAGTCTGGTGCTGAACCTATAATCGTACCGTTAGTTCTAAAGATGGCGGAATTTGACCATAAGGTGGTGCTTCCTCTTTCACCTCAATTGTTTTTCTACCCTTGTTTCTTTCTCCTCTGTGTATATATAAGCATTGTATATGTTTCTAGTTTGTGTAGTCAACCATGTAAAAGGTTCAACCTCTGGTTGCTTTACACTCTTTCTTCAAGTAGAATGTCTTTTTTTATGTCTTATTATAAATGTTCTGGAGAATGCCTGAAGTTTCAGTTTTGTACTTGATTGAGCTAATCAGTTATTGTTTATCCTTTTCTCATTGTTGGACCTTTTCAAATAACTGTTCTCATGGCAGGCCTTACTTGAGGAATGGATATCAACTCGCACATTTAGGGATAATACATGTCTAGTTCAGGTAGTTATATTTGCTACTGTTACTGTTATCATTTTTATTCAAAAAGAAGTTTCAACCTATGAGCCATATTGAACTCACTTACATTAGCAAGTACACGGCAAAGCGGCAATCATTAGTCACGTTTCAAGTCTTGCCCCTTTTTTTCTGTTTTTTAAAAATTTTTTTTTTTTGTTTTTTTGGTGGGAAGGACATACTTTTTTGGAATTATGTTATATGTTGTTAGGTGAAAATCTGTAGGCTGTAATAAAAGCAGTAGGGTGTTCTGTTGATGAAAAAATTTTGACATGATTTCTGATTTCTCTCTCCCTTTTTTTGATTTGATAAGATAGTTTAAAAAATTCAAATTTGGTTCTGACTCGCACCTGTGCCACGGTTATTTGTTCAGGATAAAGATAAGCTAATAGCCAATTTGAAGACCATTCAGGACTATTTATGCTCATTTAAGTCACAGGTATGCCCCTTCGTGTTTGTATTACTTGTTTGGTCTAGTGGATTACAAGCATGTTTTTTCATCACCCTACATTTTCAGCAACGAAAAACAATTTATCTTGGTATCTACTATGTCATAGTTTACCAGAATGATTATTCTCGTAACTAAGGGACCTACAATTCAGAAAAGAAAATAATTTAAAATATATTGGTTCTTTCTCTAACAGACCTTGTATAAGCATTCAAAAATAAAGAACTTGTTAATTTGACTAAGCATTTTCAACCTTATAATCTATAGATATAAAATTATCCTGAATTTTTGAGCAGTTGCTTTTGAAGTCCTTAGATATCGATATTTTCATGCATGAGAAATGGAAAGTTATGAAAGCTAATGACTTTAAAATTTAAAAGATAAGCTTTATTGTTGTTGTTCTTTTTTTGTTTTTTTGTTTTGGCTCAAGAGTTAACAGTGATCAAAATAGCTGGTAATATATAGGAGTGATGACAGGGAAACACCAGTCAAAATCTAGATGCATTATTTCAGTACCGATCATATTCCATTCTAGTCTTTTTTTAATGTTACGCCTTGTTTTTTCACTTTCTTCCCTTTTTCCCAAACAGGGTTTGACAGTGGTCAATGTATCGGCAACCACATTTCCACAAACATTGGATTGGTTGCACGGATATCTTCTTCAGGTATGGTGATCATTTTTTTTAATAAGGCTAAAATAGTTCATTCTAATACCCCATTTTTCAACCTAGAAAACAGATGCTTCATGACACTCTCATCATTATCAATCACCTGCTCTCAATTATGAGGAGGATATTTCCATATTCTTCATGCTGTTGTCTTTATTTTCCACTCAGCTTCGATCTCTTCTGATTACTTCTTTTTTTTTTTTTTTTAACCATGTTATTATCTGCTTTAGTGTATTGAGCAAGGTATTTCATCAGCCCCCAATGAAAATGGGAGGGAGGTTGGAAAGAATTAGTTTCATGCAGATGCTAGCACAAAGAAAAGGTAAGAGTTTGCCTTTCTAGATTTGAATATCTTCGTTGATTGTATGATGCATTTCTATACTACTTATCAGAAAGAAAGAGGAAGGGAGGGGATTTTGGGGGTGGTGGGGTGGAAGGGAGTCTCTTTTGACATGTTTTCAGATGTATACCTTACAAGCAAAAATTTACGAGATACCGTGATTGTGTCAGCTAAAATTCTCTGTAGAGAGTTCCATCACATTGATCTGGTTTTGATGTTTGAATTCTGTTTTCAAACGATTAACTTCTTTCAGTGCATATACTGTATAGATAGGTCTTGCGGGGTAAAAAGATAGAAAATAGAGGACTAGTATTATGTTATTTAGGATGTATTAACTTGTTTGTTTAGCATTTTTGGCGATTAGTATTATGTTGGTTAGGATGTATTGAATTGAATTTAGCATTTTCTCTTCCCTCTCTCTTGTCTAGGTGCCTTTGTGAAAGTGGACAAAAATGGCGAATCAGGGCTGGGATAGCGGCTGCATGGTAAATTAGATGAAAAAATACATTTATAAAACAGAGGGGAAACAGGGTTTTCGAAGGCCTTGAAGGAATCTGTTGCAATATTCATTTGTAAAATTTATATCCTTGCATGGCTTCATCGTCAAAATGCATAATTTTATTGCTTCCTGACCAATGCTCATTGTTCAGCTTCTTGTGATGCTCTGGAGAAAGAGAAACTAGCTGGGGGACGCAAAAAATATTGGTTGGAAATATATTATTGTCCTTGAAACAAATCTCATACGTGTAACATTTGTAAAGTACGTAACAAATTTTGCATTTATATCTCTATCGTGTACTCTCCTTGTTGCTTGGTAGCAAGTTATCCCATATACACAATACACTCAGGCTTACATATGCTGCCAGTTCGTTTACATTAACCAAGGGAAGCGACTATCATGAGTTGTCCCAGACTCCCAGTATTCTCCTGAGGTGTTCCCGATATTGTTATTCTTATTTTATTTTATTTTTTGTTTTGTTTGTGAACTTGAGAGATTCGAATTATACACAAGATGGTATGTCAAGTGTAAAATTATCGCTAGATTATGCCTGTTATAACGTTATTGTTATTGTTTCCATAAGTCGGACCAAGTCACATGCCCACATTGGTAATATGTTTAGATTAGACGGACATATACGGCCACACAAGTTTTACTTGAAATGGTGGAAATAAACACTTCACTTTCATTTGGAGAAACAAGATATTCCCTTTTTTTTTTTTTTTTTTTTTTCCAAAGTACATATACACAATTGCTTTGGGTTTTCCTAATATTTCAGATTTTTTTTCAACAAAAAAAAAAAAAAAATGATCTCTATCCCGCAGCATTAAGATTAGGTAGATTGTAGACAGGAAACGTATATTATATAGAACGTGGTAGTAAATCATTGGAAACTAGAGGTACACATTATTTTATTAAATTCATTAAATTTCACCATCCCAAAGATCTTCAAGTGACTTGTAAGGGCTTGTAGTTTCATTAACTAGAAACTCTCCCCTCATGATCTTCCTCTCCTCCAATTTGTCTATCTTGAGGAGATCCTGATCGTCCAATTTCAGATCAAGGGCAGCAATGTTCTCCTCCAACCTATGTTCGTTAAAGCTCTTTACAATCACACTTGATCCCTTAGATAATCCCCATTTTAGAGAAACCTGCAAAGATTATTAAAGTGAAGTTAGAAATTTACACTTTTGTTATTCGTCTTATTTGACCATTTAGAATTTTAGACGTCATTGGAGATGACGCTTACCTGAGCAGGAGTGGCATTGTGTTCTTGTGCTATGGATTGGATAATTGGACTGTCCACTACAGCCGTTGACCCCCATGCATTCCCGGGCCCACCAAGTGGTGAGTAAGCACTTACGTGGACTTTGTGGTCCCCACAGACCTCACGGAGTTTTGCTTGCCTCCACATGGGATGCATTTCCACCTATATAACATGTGAACAAAATGAAGCTAAATTAGAAGGGAGGAAAAAAAAATCACTTGTCTCACCAACGGTTAAGTATCATCTTGCTTGTTAATCGTTATCCAAATAACAAATTCAATTGTCATATATGGTTCCTTTGTCTCCATATGTTAGTAACTAAAACACGTATTGGAGAAAACGACATAAAAAAATTGGAGTTCTATGAAAATTTTCATTTATATCTGAAGAGAGTCAATTCAAACCTAACCCCATGAATTTAAGTCTGAAATATCTTAAGCACACTTCTCTTCTAACGGTTTGAACTTATAAGCTCTACAGCAATTTCAGATATTATGTGGTTTTCAATTTAAAACTAACGTTACAAGTTTGACAAACTTTAACCACCAAATCTTTATGTTGTAGGGCTAAACACTTATTAAAAAAAAAAAAAGGAGAAAGCCCAACCCCTTTAAAAATACTTAGTTTATTTAGGATTTGAGTTTTTAATTTTAGATTTCTATAGTTAAAAACTTTTAAAAAATATCACATTTAATTTTTTCTATTACAAATTCTTAACAAAATATTACATCTCAATTCGAATTAAAAACTCAAATCACAAAAGGAACTAAGCCAAAATTTCTCAAGTCTTGGCCTCTCTGGCTCACAACCATTCTTTATACACAAAGGATTAAATAAAATAGTTCTTATGAGAGGAAGGATTCAATGGAAAATGAATTAAAAATTGGTGATGACGATGATGTCAAAGGATTGACTTGATGATGCCGACCATCAATTAAAATATTTATAAAATTAGCATCGCCAATCAACACAAATTTTTAATATATCATTTTCAATAGTTCGGAGCTAGAAAGATTCACTTCAGAGAAACATTACATCAAAATTTTTAGCTGTCAAATCCTTTCTCATCATTAAAACCAAAACCATTCTTATCTTCATGTATCTTGTAGATTTTCTCCGGTTGAAATTGCTGAGAAATTTTCAGATATAGCCCGTTTGGTTGATGAATTAAAATTATGATATTAGAATTATTTTTGATTTACGTGTGTTTTTTATGAAATAAAATACTGTAACAAATCATAAATCATAATTCGAATCAGAGAACAAATCTTCCAACTAAACGAATTTTTAATTTATTTTACTTTATATATATATATATATATATATTCAACTTAACATGCCTGATTGACAGCTGGAGCAACAGAGGCAAAATCCAAGAGCCCTTCAATTTTTTTGCTTGAGAAATTGCTGACACCAATAGATCTACACAAACCCAATTCAAGGCACTTTTCCATGCCAGCCCAGGTGGATTCCAAGTCTAACTTTTCAAATTCATCTTCCTTGGGAACCGCATAATTACAAGCCCATGGCTTAAGCTTGACTGGCCAGTGCACCAAGTACAAGTCCAAATATTCCATGCCCAAGTTCCTATGTGACATTCCATTGGCACAAATTTAGCAAAAAAATAATGGGCAATTTCAGAAATATCTCAATATTTTATACACAAAGTGGCAATTGTCTATTAGATTAATTAGGGGGGTTGTTATGCAACAAATGAAGCATCGTCAAGTACATGATTTCAGTCACACTTTTCTTTTCCGAGATTCTCAAAATCTTATTAGGTAACAATCTTTATTCTGTGCCGTGCTTTCCCAGTACTGTACTTAATTTGTCACCATTATCTTAAAAAGGCCCTAACCAATCTCACTAATGTGAATCTCAAGAGATCCTGCAGCTCAAGATTTTGTTAAAACCATGCATAAAACTCGAGAAGATTCACCCACGTGCACCAGAAAAATTTTGTAGATTGCCAAAAGATTTTTTTTTAATATTTTTCATTTATAATTTATAAAGTGAAGAAGATTTGAGTTGTTGATGAATATGCTAATTTTGTTTTATTATTGTTATATAATATATATATATATATATATATTTTACCTTAGAGTTTGTTTGAGAGCGGAAACTGGGTCATGGTGGTCACTTCCCCAGAGCTTAGATGTAACAAAAATCTCTTCTCTCTCTACTGTCCCATTGAAAATTGCTTCTCTCAAAGCATTTCCCACAGCTGGCTCAGAACCATATATCTTTGCTGTGTCAAAATGCCTGTAACCCATCTGCTCATAATATCACATACAAACATACATGCAACAATATTAGTAAAAGATTCATGCTAAAACCCCGTTCATTTTGTTGGTCGAGTTTAAAATTCGAGTTTTGTTATAGTAAAAAATTTTCAGAAACAGTCACATTTAATTTTTTTATTACAATAAAAAACTCTCACATAACATCACATCTCAACTCAAATTAAAAATTTAAATTAGCGAACTGAAGGCCCCTTAATCTAGGCATTACAAAGAAAGATATAGCAAACAACTCATTGGGAACTTTTTTCCAGTGAGAATTAAGGCATTTACATTTCGACCCTTCATTGTTCAGAGTAATAACGGTTTGGTTAGCATAAAAAGAATTTATCTTACAATATAGGACCAGTTAATTTTTATACGTATATTTGTCTTTCTATCTTCTTTCTTTTCTGTTTAGTTTGAACTGGTTTTGAGTGCTCAGTTACTATATAGTAGTACTCATATGCAAGGACTTTTGCATTGACAAATATTGATAACGATGTTTATAAGTCGGATATTGCTTTTATACGACGAAGATTATATTAGTATGACATGGGAAGAGAGAGAAAAAAAACCAAAAAAACAAAAAAAAAATGGAAAATGAGGACAATGTTGTACGGATAGTACCTTGAGGGCCATATGAATGGCGGATTCTGTTGTCTTCCTATCATTTTGGAAGGAATAAGTGCCCAACCCAATGACGGGCATTGTTATTCCACAACTCAATATCACCTGGTTGCACCTCATTTTTATTTCTCTCTCTTCTTTATCTGACTCTTTCTCTCTCTATCTCTTCCTTCTGTCTCTCTCTCTCTCTGTTTTCTCTAGTTCATACAACACCTGCAATGCAAATACCACTCCATCTTGCTCCTATATATAGTCATTTTAAAGTCAACATAATTAACTGTATTTCATAGGACACTTCAACCACATAGAATATATATATTTTTTAATTTAATTAAATGAGAGATGTGGAGGTGTCAAAGATAATTATTGAAGCCTACATATCAAAGCATGTGGGATCTTCCATGTCTCTTGGGATTTTATCAAAATGACCCATCTCATCATCCAAAGGCAAGTATCTTGGAGTACCCTTTTGGAGGAACCTTTAAAAAAAATTAATTATTATTATTATATTTTTTTAGGAATGACACGAAAAAATATAATATTTTCAGAAAATTTTCATGCAAAAGTCAACCAGTTGAAACAATTCCCAAATATTCATAATATTAAAAAGTCAACTTGGCCGGCCGTACCATATATGAATTAGGTAGTTTTGTATAAAACAGAAACACAGGTGGTACCCTCATTCTCACGCTATGCCAATATTAATATCTCAAAACATGGAAGATGGAACTACATGTACCATTTAGGTGCAATAATCAATTTCATTTAATATAGGTTTTTTTTTTTTTTTTAACTCAAACAAGTAACGACTAACGAATAAATAAAATAATGTTTGACATGTAATTTTGTCAATGTGCATTATTAATGTTATTATCTCTTTGTAGAAGTAAGAAGTCAATGGTTTTTTTAATGAAAACTTGGGTATAATATTAGCATTACTCCCCCTTTAATCTTGCTAAGAAAAAACTTATTTGTAACATCATTAATCTTCTCTTGATCCTCCTAACCGCCCAAGGTTGATTTTCCTATAAAATAAGAACTTATTATTCCATAAAAAATTAAGTCAAATGGAATCCCAGTAACGTTTTTGTTCCCCCACATTTTTCTTTTAAGGCTTGCTTTGAAACATGGAATATGATCCACAAAATTATCTTTTCGTCAATTCTGCACGTTCAATATTACCATATTTTTCCTTATACTTTTCTTGATTTTTAAGTCCTTCTCGAAGTTTAATACAGAACACAGCCACACAGGAATTGCATCGATTCAAGCAAATAATTAATATCAAAGTTAATAAATGTATATTTTGATGGATATTTAGGATCAGATAAACGATACATATTCTTTCTTGGAAAGATCAAAGAAGGTGAATGTAGGTTTATTAAAAATCCCATTTGGGAGATAGAGATTAAGAATATATATACAGAAATATCTGTTATTACATAATGACATATGGATTTCGGTAAAGATTCAGAAAAATACATTTATATATTTTTGGTGCACCGCCGTATATAATCCGTATTGGGATCTTAAAATCCTGTCATGTGGTGTAAGGGATTCTCTCATCTTTCCAATGATCTCAGGCATATCCATGCCTCTTACGTACAGTTCGTATATTGAATATGGAATATATATATATATATATACAGCTATTATACTTTTTATACAAATGTATACGCGTACTTTTGATTCTTGTTTTGCTTCTTTGATTATTACTTATAAGCATGACCACTTAAATAGTTATAGTAGCGCTGACCACCGATTCCTGAAAACGAATTAGATGTACTAATTATCATTTAGCAAACGATTTAAATAAAATGTGAAATCAATTCTCACAAATTTCAAAATATGTGTTAGAGCAATTCCAACAATGCTAGTCATATTATATTATTAGCTAAAATGGTTAACGATTTAGATGCTTTAAAAAAAAAAAAAAAAAAACTTTTATCCACTTCAACCATTAGCTAATGGTTAGTTATTTTAGAGAATGTCTTCCACACCTGGCTAAATATAGCTAGTATAAAAAGGTTAGCCATTTCATTTTTTATATTATTTTATTCTTTCAACTGTAATAAATACAAAGGTTCTTTTATAAATTCAATAAAGTTATTTATATTTGAAATTCAACAAATATTAAATTAATCTATATTTAACTAAAATAGAGAGAGTATGGTTGGAGTAACTCACCTAAAAATTGCTAGTTAAAATTAGGGGTGGCAATTCGTATTACGTGTCGTGTTCATGTCATGTTTTGATCATTTCTTTCTAAATTTACAGTCAACCCGAACACGACTCGTGACACGAAATTTTTTAAAAACCGCAACACGAACACGACACGATCACTTTACGAGTTGACACGACACGATCCGAAAATGACTCGTGACACGAAATTAACCCGTGAACCCGAAATTGACACGAAAATTGTATACTTTTATTTAGTTTTTTATATATTAAAAATAACTTAAAATTCATAACACACTAAATTACAATAACATCCATTGAAATTAAGCAAATACTAGTATAAGATTTTGAGTATAACTATCATGATATCACAAGTTCATAATAAAATTTAAAATATGCAATGAAAAATATATGTATTTTTTAGTTTTTTACGAGTTTCGGGTCGTGTTCGGATTAGGCGGGTCCAACCCGAAATTGACTCGTGTTTTTCGTGTCAATTTCAAGTCGACCCAATTCTGACCCGAACCTCTTTTTTCTCAACCCTAACCCGCAAAATTCGTGTCGTTTTCAAGTCGTGTCATGACCCATATTGCCGGTCCTAATTAAAATAGCTTTTTAACCATTTTAGCTAGAATTGAGCTATTAGAGAGTTTTCGTCATTTAGTAAGATTTTTTATCATTATATTTCAAACTTTTTTTTTCTTGTTCTTTTTTTTTTCGAAGGAATTCAAACAGTAAACCATAATCTGAAGATGTGTGTAAAATTCGGGTAAGATTATATCGAAATGACCCCTAAAAGTAGCTGGAAATTGTTGCTGAGATTCATGAGATTGTATTAACTTTATCGCCAAATGTTGCGCCGTATATCGTATTATGTTTTTTGTTCAAAATGAAAAACTAATCAGATTTGTATTATTCTAACGTTTTTAACTTTTATAAAAAATTGAGTGAATTTTTTTTGCTTTTACAGATTTTCATTTTTCAATGAAAAGAAGACATTGCTCCATAAAAAACGAAAAATCGTGTTTCCTTCATCTAAAAACGACATGTCGTTTTCTACAGTGGCCATTATTTGAACGACATCTCGTCACTGCTGTGGAACTCTACTGTTGTTTAAATGTTAACGCCATGTCGTTCTACGCTTACAACTTGATTCTCTTTTGTCTTGGTAAACATGTTATCTTCTTTTTTGGTCCCAACAACATGTTTATCTGTTGTTTTAAACGTTTGATAGTTATCATACCTTCAAGACTAAAATGATAGGTTTTAACGTGTAGAGTTTGTTAATCAAATTTGGTTGTCGTTTAAAGATGAAGAATACACGTCGTTTAACCTATATGAAGTTGTTGAACAATTACAACAAGGATGAAAATATCAGTATCAGTATAAATATCGGTACTCTAATTTATAGAATTTTTAAAAAAAATATCGTTTTGTGGAAATATCAAAAAAATTTACAAAAAAGTACGGAAATTTACATTAGAACACATTTTTAATACTTTTTAATAGCATAAACAAAAATGATACATAAATAAACAAGTCTTACATAAAAAAACTTCATACATATTACATTTTTTTAATACCAAAAGGAAGTTCTATAGGACTCAAACATGGTCAGAATCCCATCTTAATTCAAATAATATTAGTGTCATCACATGTTATTTGAATAATGTTAAATAAAGTTACAAACATGCCACATTTAGGTTTTTTAGTTACTAGATTGCAGAACAAATTATGCAGAAAAAAAAAATTTTGGTATTATAAAGCGAATTTAGAACAACAAAAAAACAAAAAATTTAGAATTTCCGTTTCTGAAATTTATCCTAAAGTTCTCAAAATTCTGTCCCAATTACACTACTTGATATAGAGGCTCAAAAAAAAAAAAAAAGTTTAAAACGTAAGCAAGCCATAAAGGAATCTAAATCAAACTCCATTAAGGGAGTTTGACTCGGAATCTAGATTTTAGTATCAAATTCTAATGAATTTCGTCACCATCGAAAGAGTATATTCCATTGGTGGTTCAGGACGTTTGCTCCATGCACGCTCATGATTAACTTTGAATTGCAGGGGTAACTCCTAAAACATTCTTGATCTTCAAATTTGGTACACTCGATTTTATTTCACTTACTTTTATCATCTCAGCAAGTTCAACAATTTATTTGTTTCAAAGATGGGTTGCTGAAGATGTTAGTTTATCAATCCATCCCCAAAACTTAAATTATTAAGAGGTGAGCTAAAAATAATTTTATACTTTAACACTCCCCCTCACGCGTGGGCTGGACAATGGACAATCGTGTGGGTAAATTAATTGGAAAGCCCAATACATGAATATTTAAACCCGAGATATATTAAATACCCAACACATGATGACAATTTTAAATGAGGATAAAGAGTGCAATTACGTGGGTTTGAACTCAAGACCTCATGCTCTGATACCATGTTAGTTTAACAATCCATCTAAAAAACTTAAGCTATATTAGGAGATAAACCAACAATAATTTTATACTTTAACGAAGAAAATTATTCTGTACATATATCAATTAAGCTATTACGGATTCAAGGTCGAATTGTCTTCAATCTAAGGAGAATGATGTCATGTTGCGAAACATATCATGTAAAGACAATTATTTTAAACGAATAAGTCGAAATCCATTATTAGAAGATTTTGATTTTGGCTTAATTCTTGGATCAAATATAAGTTTTTTGGAGTTATTTAGTGCCTTAATCTTGTTTGTAGTTTTTTTTTTTCTGGGACAATTAGATTATAAATATGTTAGTCTCATAAATATGTAAGAAGGTAGTATTTCTATGGATGAAATCATAGAGTGCTTACTCTTTTTATTTTATAATTCCCCCAGGTATATTGTTAAAAATCAATGACCAGTTGATACTTATTTTTGCGCATTATGTGTGAATCAACGTATCAAAATCATCAATGAATCCTTGGAAGGATTTATTTTTTATATTCTGCTTATACATCATTTGATTACACGCACTTGGAGGGATTTATTCCAGAAAATAGTTGTTTCCGGCAAGTACTTTTATGTTTTGTGAAATAAAATAGATTTGGAGTTTGTTTTTGTCATGTAAGATTCGTTGTTCTTTAAATTCATATAACGATGTTGGCGATCAATTTTCGTTGAAGCTAAACAGCACGTCGGTATCCGGTAAACGACATGTCGTATTTTCTAGAATTTTCTTAGGTCAACCCACGATGTATGGTACTCGTACTTTTATAAACCGTTTAGTTTGTTAATTCGAGTTGAGATGTGACGTTATGTGAGAGCTTTCTACTGTAGTAAAAAAGTTAAATGTGATTATTTTTTAGAGTTTTTTACTATAACAAAATTTAAATTTTAAACTTAAATCGGTGAAATGAACAAGGGCTTAAATTATTTTCTTTCAACAACGTGTCGTTATTGGATATGTATACGCGTGAGCTTTGGAATACTACCGTCATATTTATCTGTGGCAATTGACATGTCGTTTTGGGAAGAAAAAAAAAATGCTACGGACGTATTGGAGAAACGATACATTGTTTGCATTAATGTCTTATCCTAAACATGAGGTCATGTCTATAGAGTTCATTTAAAAATAGTTATAAAAACTAATAAAATAAATAAAATAAACAAACAAACATGAAAACATACTCGATAGTGGTTAGATATCTGCAAAATCCTGTTGACAACGGAATTAAATACATATACACACACACACATGTATATATACATATATATATATATATATATATATATTACTTCTATATTGGATGGAGAAACCAAAGACCTTATTAGGTGAGAATAAAAAAAAAAACCGTAGTCATTTTTTGTAGACGGTTTCGAGATAATAATACTTGGGAAAATTCATACATATTTCATTACAGAGCTTACAGATGCTTCATTAGACAAAATCAATAGAGCTTGCCACTATGGTAATAGTACCATAAGAAATAATCACACCAACATTGAGTCACGATGAAAGGCCTAAATAACACACACGAGTTGAGAGAGCCTAGCAGGTAGCTCGGATTATTTTAAAATACCATTACTATGAGACAAAACAAATACGCGACCATTACAAGAGCTAGCACATATGCATACATATATATATATATATATATATATATGATATAATGATTAAGGATTGTTTTGACGGTTGCCACCCCGTGGCAATGCTTCGCCCAGTTGACGGCTTGCTACAAGCTTCTTATCTGCCACTCCAAGAGAAAATATAGAATTCATAAAATTGTCTCTAATTATCCAATTAATGGTTTAATAAAGTCAAATTTTACAATAATTTCGCACCATTCTACTTTTTTTTCTTTTAATACCATCGACGTTCGTCCATCAATGGATACACACACAGACTCACGCACCAAACCATTTTACTTATTCACTAAAAAGAAGTTAATTACATAAATCGGGGTTATATAATGTACTTACTAGCGAACAAGGGACCTGGATTTCTTGAAGCCATTGTTGCCGTGGCTAGTAGAAGCATAACAATCAAGAGAACCTCCCAAACAAATGAGAATTTCTTAGAAGCCATTTCTTTTTATTATGTTGAATACAAAACCATGTCTAAGATGTGTATATATAGACCTTTTTATGGTCAGTGGATTTCGTTTTCACAGCTCACTCAAAGTAGACTTTTCGCTTAGTAAGAGTTAGTTTGTCTTCACAAGACAGATACTGATTCTACACTGTGAGTGTGCAACCACAATAATTAGAGGAAATCCTTATGATCAGAGTCTTCTTAATTTTTCTGTCCTTTCTTTAGTGGTGTCGCTTTAATTGGTAACAACTTGCAACAATGGTGTCGTTTTGCTCTGACATTTGATGCCATTTTCTGTCGTAACAAGTCTTGCGCAATTGTACGTTTATGGTCATGTTGACTTTTGAGCACTCCAAAGTTGACTTTTGAGCACTCCAAATTTGACCGCTATAATTATTTTTGAAAAGGGGTGGTGTTGGTTTTGTTACGACTAACAGACATTTGTCGTCCTTACTTTGACATTCTGCCATTTTCTTTTGGTCCCACGTAAAACATTCTTGCATTGTCATGGCCATATATGCACCTATAATTAAGCTAGCGCACACGTAAATTGTCAACTTTCTGAAGATAATGGCTATATCCTATATGCGTTCCAAATTTAGTTGCCAAACTTGACTATACATATCCTTGAAGGGAATTGCAACTATATCATGACACTAAACGGATGATCAAGAGAGTCAAAATAGAGGCAAGCACAAATCAATCAACAAATATTCAATTTATATATGTGTGTGTGTGTATATGGATCTTTCGGTTGTCTATACTGTCCAAGTTTACGGAATTTCAACATATTCATGTCGCTATAACATGTCACTAAGAAGTCACCACAAATCAATCAACAAGTCTGGCGCAATTGTATGTTTATGGTCACGTCAATGCACCTATAAGCTCTAGCATAACATATAAACATATGTGGCCAACTTCAATCCTGTACTACGCAAGTTCAAATATTATTAGTTGTCAAACTTTACTACAGAGCCTGTTTGGATTAGTTTGAAAAAAGCTATTATTGACTTATTTAGTCTAAAAGCTTCTTTTGAGCATGTTTATATAGACAATTTTAAAGTGGTTTTAGCTTTTATAAGCATTTTTAGAACAAAATACCTCCTTAGCGCTTCAAAAAAAAAAAAAAAAAGAGCTTATGAAAAAAAATTTATTTACATTTTTAATCTTTTATTTGTGAACTACAAATTAGAAATTCCATCTATGTCCTAATGTTACATTATTTTTTGTAACAATAAGTGATTTTGACTTATTACTTAAATAAGTTCAAAATATCTTTTGAAATATAAAAGCACTTTTTCATACACTATCAAAATACTAATTAAAAAGTCCTAACTTATATTTCTCTCCTTTTGCTGCTTAAAAGTAAAAATACAAGCTCTCGCATGCGGATTCTAACCACACTAGTTTGGACCCTCTAACCAAACAAGGCCATAAGAGGCAGAATTTCAACCACACATCAGTAGACAAATTAAAGGCTACCGTCAGATCAACCATGAAATATGTAAATATATGGGGATTCCAGACCAACTTTTTGCAAAATTTCTATGTTTTTTTTTTTCTCTTTGGAGATTTATGTAGTGGAACTTTAAAAAAAATGTACTATGTGATGTGAACATCAGGGATGCAAGAAATACTCATCAAAGTCGATCCGGAAGAGAGCCAACTAGTCTTACACGTCTATTGAGCCATTGCATGGCCAACTTGCATGCCAATCCAGGATACACGTGCAAGGAAGAATTTTAAGAAGTTAGGCGTGTTTTCCAGCCCGGGATAAAGTCAAATTGCGGATAAAGACTTGCTTTTATCATAATTCTATCTTTTTAGATTTAAGTTTCAAGTTTAAACATTTAAAATGCATAATAGGCGTTTTTAAGGAAGGAGTTAAATTCAAATTCAGATTCCTTCCCTAAAAGAATATCTTTAGGTGTTTAGAAGGAAGGAGTTTGAGTCAAATTCGGATTCATTCCCTAAGATAAGCTTTAGGCTTGCGTTTATCTTGTTTTTAGGTTTATCTTATTTTAGGATTCTATCTCATTAAGGATATGATAGGACTTTTAAATTTTTAAACATTTTTCAGCTTATACTCGGCTATTTAAGGCTGAAAAACGTAAATTAATAAAGTTTTTGATATTTTTATTCACATTGTGAGATATTCTTCTTGTGTTCTTGAAGAAACTATTCCGAACTTATCAAGGTTTTCTTGTGGCGTTCACCCTTGACTTATCAAACGGATTTTCCATACTCGTTTGTGGCGTCTTCACCATACCAAGGTTCTTACTTCGCTAAGTAACGGGTCGCGGTTTCCATCAATTCTTGAAGATCTTGAATCGCATCCCAAATTTGGCTATGGGTTTCATCACATTGTTAACGGGGTTCGTATCACTATGAACCTTCATATCCGTATTGGAATTTTTTTATTTTGATTTAATATTGACTAGATCCAATGACCAAAAAACGTGCACTACTCGGCGCAGAAAGATCTCTTTTCTTTTGGTTTTTATGACAAGTTGTAGAACTAGATATAGCTAGATTCCATGCTTGACAACGTTTTGCTAAATTTCTTTATTACTGTTATTATTATTTTATTTTCTGGTTTCTTTAGACAAGTTGTACTTCTAGACCGTTTGAAATTTAGCGTTGACAATATGAGTTTCCAGTGACATTTTGTGCCCACGCCACTTTTGAGGAACTAGAGAGTAGAGACCAACGGGAACCCACAAAAATATCAATCAGAAGTAGTGTGTCCAAATTCACTAGCCAACCAAAATTTCAAAACAATGAACTTGGTCCACAAGTCATGAACTTATCCTCTAGGATACACATAGTAATATTTTGCACCAAGAATTGATGTAGTTATACATATATCAAAATGTGCAATGATTCTTCAATCTTCAGTAGCTTGACAAAATTATAAACTATCTGCAGGCAATAATCCACAGAAGGCCTAAAATAGCACTGAACTATATTCATGATCAAGGAAATCAAACACACTCAGATACGAGCGCACAGTTATTAAACGAGGAGATCAAACTAGAGAGAATAATTAGGAATATTCAAGTTTTCAAGTCATCAGCATGAGCCTGCATTTCTAATAGTTTTGCCACACTGCGCATGGCTGGACGAGATTCTGGATTCGAAGCCAAACATGAGATAGCCAAGTTCACAACCAATGCTAGTTTATCAGCAATTTCTTGACTTGTAGGGGTTGTCAGCCGAGGATCCAAAACATCCTTGTAGTGGATACTTTCAGCAGAACCTGAATTCAAAGAGGAAATGAGTTCCCCCGGGTGCTTCCCCATCAGAATTTCAAGTGCCAAAACCCCAAAGCTATACACGTCACATTTCTCAGTCACTGCCATATTATAAGCCAGCTCTGCAACATAGAAAAAACGTTTACTATAATTGACAAATAGAATATATATTAGGACAAAAACAAAAAAATTTAATAGTAAGATTGAGTTATGATTTAAAGCGAAGAAAGGAAAAAAGAACATGTATAAGTTCAAAGTTACCTGGAGCAAGGTATCCAATAGTTCCTGCAACTGCAGTCCAATTAGAGGACTCAGGATTTAAGAACTTCGCAGTGCCAAAATCTGATACGTGGGCCTCATGTTCGGAGTCCAACAGAACATTTTTACTCGATATATCGCGGTGGATTATAGGTGGAACACAATCATGATGCATGTAACTCAAAGCATGGGCAACGCCTTTTGCAACTCGGATCCTCTTTCCCCAATCTAGCTTTTCAGCTTCCTCATCACTTCGCAGAATATCTGCTAGACTTCCTCTTTCCACAAACTCATAAACCAAAAATGTATGCATTCCCTGAGAACAGAATCCAAAGAGTTTCACAATGTTTCTGTGCCTGATTTCTGTTAAGGCCGCAACCTCATTCCCAAAATTCTTGATGCTCTCTATTTGCGAATCGTCTGTGGCCTGAAAATTTAGCTTTTTTACCGCAAACACTTGGTTAGAGTCCGGCATTTTTGCTTTGTATACCTTTCCAAATCCACCCACCCCAATGCAGTACTTGTCATCAAAGTTGTTTGTAGTTTCAAGTATGTCTTTGTACAAGATTTTCCCTTCAAAATAGCATACTGAGAATGGATTCTCTTCCTTTTGTGCACGTTCTGAATTCATCGCCTTTTTGGATCTCTTTTTCCAACAACACACCAAGATCCAAACAAATGTCAATAAAAGAAACAACCCGCTCGCTAAAAGAGCAAGAAGGATGATTTCAAGTTTCCCTTTCTTGCTTTTGCCAACATTTTCTGTTCTTGTCACATTGCAAGGAGGCAGACCTTTTATCGCCCCGCACAGATGCTTGTTGTTGCTGAGAGCCTCCGGTTTCGATGAACGAAAGATATTGATATCAGGAACAAGACCCTCCAAATTGTTGTATGAAAGGTTGATATCCGTTAAGCTAAGCATGTCGCCGAGGGAAAGA